TAGTTGTTCCCATAGTTTCTTGTTGCTTATTCTCTCTGGCTGTCTATTTGATCTTCATTATGGAGCCAGCCAGCGAAGGCAGCTGTAGATGGAAATCTGCAACCTGTTGGAAATCTTTTTCGTGACACTCAGTGCAAGTTTCTGACCCATATAGAAGAACTGACTGACTGACTTCACATTGGTGTTGAAAGTGCGAATCTTGTTCCTTATGCTGACTGCCAAAGATTTTCAAACTGGTTCCAGATTGATGAAGGCGTATATCACCTTTCCGATTCCGACTGGTCAGTTTTGATATCTTCATTCATGCCATCCGCCTGTAGTTGAAACGATGCTTCCTGGCCAGATAAGTGAAGGAGGTCATCTCTGTTAAATCTCTCCCGTTGATAGTGATTGATGCTGGTTGTTGATGTTGTTGTTGCTGCTGTTGACTGGTTGTTTTCATCCCATCCGTCTTCTTTGTTTTCACCTGCAGTCGTGTTATTGCTGCCTGCCTCTTCAGCCAGTTTGTTGGTTTTTGCTTGCAAGTATTCTAGTTTGTGCGACATTAGACATATATCATCTGCAAAGTCCAGATCTTCCAGAGTCTTCTTATCGGTGGTCCAGCTTTTTCCTGCCTCGTCGCTCCCCACAGCCTGACGCATAATCTAGTCCACCACAATTAAGAGCATCTTCGGTGATAGCAGGAAGGCTTGTCTTACTCATATCCTCATTTCCGCCTTGGATTACTTGACACGTTGCATTGTCATATAGCTATGAGTTTGATAACGATTTCGAGCACTGCACTCTGTAGTGTTGAAGTAGTTTCCAAATTACTTCACGGTCTACGCTGTCAAAGGCCTTTCCGAGGTCGATGAAGCTGAGGTAGAGTTTTGACTGCCATTCTATGCTTTGTTCTGTGATGACGATGCGTAGAGTTGCAATTTGATCAGCAAATGATTTGCCTTTCCTGAATCCAGCTTGTTCCGGGCTGGCGGAGTTCTGTATCCAGTGCATCCTTTATTCTCTCCAGGATGATGTGACTCAGTATTTCACTTAGTATTTTGTCGTCACATAGCAATACATCGAAACTATAATAATCTTGAGATTTGTGCATTTTTGACAGTATCTTCAGTTATCATAGAATTTGTGTCATTAAAATTATAAGTTTTAGGTGACAATTACTTAATGGAGAATGAATGGATCGAGTATAAACTAAATTAAGTGAACTGCATGAAGTAATACAACTGACAGGATTGAGTAGAGCCTTTTTCAAGAGTTAGTTTGTAATGCTTTGATTTGTCTCAAGTGTGATCACGGATTGATGTTAGTTACAGAACAATTGAAAATCAGGGAGTAGTGGACAGCTTTTTCGTCGTAGCTCGGGACTCTTCATCAGTACTCAACTACTGAGGTCAGGTCAGGTCTCCGACCCCCAACACTCCCTCTATTCCCAACTCTCGCCTTGTATCTCATCAAGTAGAACCAGAAATCAGTATAAAATAATCTATGCTCGTACAAACAAGTACACGAACTCAACGATACCATACTTGGCCCGTGTTCTAAGCGACAGAGACAATGTCAAGCGCGAAACCTATGACTTGCTTTGTTGTTAATAGCATAATTTTAGGCTCTTTTATTTCTCTCATATTTTGTATTCTATTGTGAACGCCTCCTTAAGCATACTTAGCTACCTAAATTATTAACATTGGCTTACCTTTCTGTACTTTACTCTATTCCTTCTTTGGTGTATCTACTTGTTCCGACTCTATTAGCACTATGAGTAGAACAAAATTTTCCTGTCATTAACCATCATGTAATTATTAGTTTTTTTGGTTGTTTTTTTCTTTTTTTTCGGCAATATTTAAACTGACAATCTTGGTTGTGAACGCCATTATCACCATTTTAAAATTTTGCATTGTGCAGGATTACTCACTCTACCACCACAAACGCTGCATTAGACCTGACAATAAAAAACGAAACAACAACCCTGAAATGTTATTTTATGATTGTTTAGAGTTGTTTCAACCAAATTGACTGATCATTTTGGCGATAAACATTCTTAAATATCACTTCATAACTTCTTGTATGACTACAGCTTTACTGTCACCATGCATAATCATATCATAGCTTCCACTACCCAGTACTGAGTTATTATTTCATGTTGTTTATTTTCCTTTCTATTTCTTGGCATTTTTTCTCATTAAAAAAATTATTTTGTGTTTTTCCTGTGTTTTTTTGTTGTTGTTGTCTTTATATTTATTTTTTTGAAATACTCCTTTTAAATGTTTGATAAAATTAGATGCAAATATTGTAGATATGTGCTGAAAATTCCACACTGTACCACAAGTACTGTTTCTGGAATAAAGCAAATTATTAATATTATTATTATAGGGTAACAGTATTCAAGCTTGCTTTGTAAGCGAAAGATCCTTGGTTCAAAAAACCCAGCACATACATACTGCTGAAGTGTTCCAAATTAGGTTTTCAGTCTATGATTAAATTTGAGTAGAGCCCAGTCAAAACTGAAAGGAGGTCGAGATCCGTTTCATAAGGAGTAGAAATGCAATAGTGAGGAGGGAGAGAAATAACAAATTAAATTACAATAAATTACCCATCTAGTGTTAATAATAATAATAATGATTTACTTTATTCCAAACAGTACTTGTGATACAGAATGGAATTTTCAGCATTAATCACAATATTGCATCTAATTTCCTCAAATTATAAATAAAATTAATCACACAGAAAATTTTTCTACATTTACAATAGGGTTAATATTTAAAAAAATAAAAAATAAAAAACATGCAGCATATAAAATGGAAATAATAATAATGATAGTAGCTAAGGTAATGATAATAATACAAGTGAAGGTATATAAAGATGGATGAAGGAGATTGTTTATTTACTAGATGAAAAAAGGTTAGTCAATTCTTGCCTGACGAGTAAGGTCCATTGTAGATTCAGTAACCTGAAAAAAATATCTGTCTTTAAAGTTCACGATTTAGCATGTAGATTGCCGTAGCTTCTGCAATTTGAAGAAGTTTTATTCGTACTGTTTTTGTGGAGATGTCCTTCACCTGCATACAAATGACTGGATTTTCCTTACAAAACCAGTGATTTGTATGGATGTGAAGGATAGGCTTATACTGCTGATTTTGTCAGTGTCTATCATTTCACCTGCTCCTGTACAGCTAGTCATATTGTCTGTATCTAACGTTTGTTATCCAAACGTATCAATGAACATTTATTCTCATGGTTTTTACAATGGAGAAAATAGATCCCCAGTAGTTCTATTCTGGAGCTTCCGATCGGCTCCACGGGCTTAGCGACCCTTTAGTAGAAATCTTGCTAAAGGACTGAGAATCAGGCTTCCTCAAATATTAGAAGCTATGTTAATCCACTTGTTAAATCCTGAACCTTGCATATTATTGAATTCTTTGAAAAGTCTCTGATTCTACTATTAAAAGTTGCCTACTACATACTTCTTATAAGAGTACGGAGTCAACAAATGGGTTGTTATTGCAGAAGAAGGCTTAAGTTATGCTTGCTCATTGTCTTTTATACATATGATTTCATGATCCCACTTTTGTTGATTAGAAAAACTTGTTGCAATAGTGCCAGTGGAATAATAATCGAAGTATTCAGACAATGATTACACCATTACAGTCAGTTAAATGAACCTGTATTCTTTTCTTTTTTTGAATAGTAACTCACTATAAGACTACAGTCATAGTTGTATTTTATCGATCTTTTCCAGTAGTTTAGTTTGAAAAATTTTGTGTACATATGTATACATACACATAGATAAGGGACAACACATTTATTGAACAATGTTATGTTAATCATGTATAAGTACAATTGTGAAATGCTTCTAAAAAGAATACTTGAGAAACGAATCACTGATTTTTTTTCAACTACTGATGTCAATTCAGATAGTACTATCAAAATTAAAAAAAACAACTAAGAAATTGTTTTTAGGAAGGTAAGAGCATTCTCTCCACGTCAGCGGTTTTTCTCAGAGATATATTTTATATCTATAAAAAGAAATAAGACTTCTTCATGGGCTAATTCCTAACCCTAGGTGTTATCTTGTGACTCTGTCTGTCTCCTTAACAAAAATGACAGATATTTGCTGATGGGTACACCGACACTGCTATAAGGAGCTCGTAGTTTTCTCGCAGTATTTTTAAGTAGGAAACCTATTGTGTATACTTGTACTTACTTCTCTAAACAACAAGAAATGTGAATACACAGTGTTTCCAACTAAATTTTCCTGGTTTACTGTGACTGGCTGTGGTTCAAGGTCATCAAATCAGTCATTCGACTCGACCACTATTTTGGGGTCACTGAAAGATAGATTGGCACAAATTATTATTGATCAGGATCGGAATAGCAAGACTGTCCTTCAGTGCTTTGAAATCAGTGTAAAAATCTACTGCACTTAGCCGAGGGAACAAGATTTCGGATTTCCAGCACGAGCACCAAGTTAGTGCTGCTATACCGTTAACACGCCTGGCGCGGTACTTAGAGCATTTCTAATACGCTGCAGACTTTTATCAGCATATGCCTTCACTCCATATTGAGGATCGGATAGCTGGAGAGGACTGGCAAAAAGGCATTCTTGCAACGAACCAACCAAGAAACTATTCTTTTACGGAAGAACCGAAGGAAATGGATATGGGTGAGACACATGCTGAGGAGACCACTGAGAGACATCACACTCCAGGTCGTTTAGTGGAATCCGAATGGGAAACAACAAGGTGGGTTTGAATTCGAGGGTGAAGTAGAGGTGATCGGGGGAAGAGGAAGCCAGAGCTTGTGAGCAGTCATGGAGGTATTTGAAAAGGACTACAGAGAACCGAGAGAAATGGAGAGGTTTGGCTGAAGATTATGTTCCACATGGAACTCATAAGAATAATAAATAAATAAAACGCGAGAACGCTCTATATTCATCTTAATAAATCCAGTCATCTAATAGTTATATTAATAATACATTTTTGTAATTGTGTTTTAAATTCCAGGCGTAAACTCCAGTTGGGTGCTACGTTTAATAATGATAGAGCAGCTGAGCTTAAAAGACTTTTTGTAATCGCTATGCCAACTGTAAGTTTATCCTTTTATTCTTCTCTGTTTAAAAATAATGCCATTATGTAAAATTTATTATGTCTCTAATTCAACTTAAACTGTTCATACTACATAAACTGTGTCCATATGAAGATACTACAATTAAATCCCCTCTGTGTAATAATAGTGGCAGTTTTATTCTGAACAACGTGTTTATATACAATGCAGAATTTTCAACTCGGTTTCACCTACTCTTTATACAGAAAATCAGGTAGCCAAATGAGTTCATCAGGCCCCCATATATGAACACAGACAATTACTAAAACAGCCATGTTCTGATTGGACACTAGTAACTGGTGTGACGTGTCTAGTCATTTCTTTGCTGCAGACTGAATTCTATGAGTCAGGTTTGCAATGTGGCCACCATTCTAGGTAACTTGTCCAAGGCTTCCTGCCGATTGCCTCCAACTATCTAATATCATCAAATCAATGTGCACCATGACGGTGAGCTAGCTAGAATGGTGGCCACATTGCAAACCTGACTGACAGAATTCAGTCTGCACCAAAGAAAGGACAAGACACATCGCACTAGTTACTAGTGTCAAATCAAAATATCCACTACAGTCCTACAGGAGGTCAATCGTGAGCTGGAATGGCTCAGTGGTAACGTCTCTGACTGCAGGTAGCACTGGGTGACGCGGGTTCGAATCTCAGAAGGGAAATGAGTTCCTTCAAGGCTGCAGATACGCCTTGCTGACTGGTGAGTGCCAACTAGCACGAAACCTAGATCCAAGGCTTCCTATCGATTGCCTTCAACTATCTGATACAGTCATGTTCATTTTCTTATACATGGAACACCAACTTAATGAAATGTGGGGTATTACAGAGCTACTGTTTTTCAGCGGATGAATCTTTATATTTCTCATGTTGTCACAATGAAATATAGTTAGTCGTAATGAGTGTTGCAGTTTTTCAATTATATCGGAAAATAAAATATTTTTTTATCAGGGTGGTTTATAGTGAGAATGGTGTCATATTTGTGTATATGAATGCATATCAATAAACCTACTGTTAAATATGCTTCTCTGAATAGTTAGTGAACTTTTCCTTGGGAACAAAGATACGAGAATTTAAAACTTCACTTGAGGGTTTCCTCAAAATGATCTAGTTGAGATTAAGGTTTATTCAGTCAATTAGTACATTCAAAGTGGCCAACCATAAGGAAAAACAGATAAGTGGAAATTTTCAAGTTTCGAAACATCGTAAAAGAAAATGGAGGGAGGCAAATGCGATGGTACTACTGTGGACAAATATATAAGTGACAGGTGGAAGTCATATGAAGGTTAATGATGTTCAGAATTAGGAAGGTTATAAAATGCGGTACAAACTTTAGATATTTCAAGGAAATTCCCTACTTCTGGCTGTCAGCAACTAGGAGATTGTAGCTCCACAACCTATACAACCTACGTGACTCTACAGACTGGTATCAAGTTTTGATCTCATAATTCTCAAATCCTTTTCAGCTGTCAGTCTTTTATTGATCAGAGTGTTGGTTAGATCATGGAGATAGATGATTACCTAATCGACTAGTGTACATTCAGTATTTGGCCCTTTATTTCTAGTGTTCATGTTGCTTACCGTGTGGCTCTGCCTAAAGTGAGCTGCAGAAGCGATGCACTGTGGCTTTTATATGACTTCTGAGGAAATGTCTGGCAGTAATAAAGTAGACCACGCTTCCATTGGTAGACAGGTGGATAACACACCTGCTTCACTAATAATATAATTTAAGAAATTCCTAATAAGCTATCTATATTTATGATAAGATTTCGTCGACTTCGATTATATTAGTATTGATTTGACGTTTAAAACAAATGAAGTGGTTGAAATCATGGACAAGATTTGGATGCAGACGATCTCTGTAACATCGTCCTATCTTTGATGGAAATGAGATGCATTCCCAACATATACAGCTTATATATCACTGCGTTTAGGAGTGTTGTGCCGCAATTAATTAGTTATCTGAACCTGAAAACTAGATGGGACTGATTTTACCTGAATTCGTCTACGAAAGTAGTTGATAAGTGCATTGGTTGTTTCAGTGATAGAATACTCGCACGTGGTCTGAGTTGTTAACCCCACGCTGTCTTGGCGTGGGGTTAACAACCTCACCCCGTAAAAACAACGTCACAGTAGGTGAGAGTTTAAAGCTGAAGTTCGAAGCTTTATGTTTCACTTAGAAAGCAAAGATATGAAAAAACCTGGTTGGTGGCTTCTCACAGAAAACAAATTGGTTGCGCAGTATAACTTTTAGTCGGTGCATATAGTTTGTACTCTGAGCATGAGCATCTAATAAATAGTCATTTATAAACTCCAAATATTGGCTATTTAACAGGCTGTAGAAAATACTCATCAGGACATTAGAGAAGAAACAGTAAGGGCGAAGTTCAACAATAGCCTCCCAGGAGTGAGAACGCTCCAATGACCTTAAACGTATGCTGGTCGTTGGTTGACGGCACCTGTCATTCTTATAGCTGAAATATCAACGCTATTGACCAACTAAGCAGCAAATTTCACTCAGATCACGTCTTTTAGTACTGTTTGAACATTGTGTTAATAGCTCGTTAGGGTTAGGATTTGGGTTATAATTAGGATTAGGGTTAGAATTATAGTCTGGAGAAGGGTTGTGATTAAGGTCAGGATTAAGGTTGAGGTGACGAGTAGGGATAGATTTAGAGTTGATGTCATTTATTCTTATTTGTTTTATTATCTACATTTTCCTCGCAAGCAGTCGTCGATCCTCTTACTGGAAAGTATAGTAATTCAACCGAGGGCTTTGGGGAGGACTGCATAACAGGATAAGAGAATTGATCGAATCACAAAAACAGCTCATCTTTAGTCACCTCGGTGAATATATGTACAGGAACTAGTCGAACTTAGCAACTGATACTACTCATTATAACCTGGACACATTTTTAGATCATGTCAGAGAAGGGTAACCTGTTTAATGTGCCTTCATGCATTTTCTTGTTAATACACGTCATTTGTTTTGCAAAAGTCACTTATTTTTATGATTGGTCGGCTAAATGTCATGTCGTGCGTTCGCATCCCTTGGGACGCTATTGTTGAACTTTGCCACAGTAAGCTCAACAAAGATGTTTGAGTGATTTCGTTCTAAAATGCTGTACGACTATGTTTTTGTATTTAAGTTGGCATAGTTACAGTCATTATTTTATTCAACAGAACAACAAGGAGAGATTAAGGAAATAAGAATTTTTCATTTTGATATCAAAGCTTGAAAAAGTGATGAATGATTAATGTAGATAGCAGGTGGCATAGAAATAAAATTAAATAGAATTAGAAAGATAGTTGCGTAATATGTAAACCTGTTGTTTGTAAGAAGACATATGTGAAAGGAATGGGTAGAATGAAATAATGTTTTTTCTTCTGAAGATGAAAAAATGAAGGGAATGAAAAAAGACAACTAAGGAGCTAAACAGAACTAGATCCATGTTAAGTGTGGTGATTAGCCTAGTTTCTTTTCAACCCACACAGTGTATATGGCAAGGTTTTTTGTGGTACAAAAATTTGGAAACACGCTGCCTCTGGTAAACTTCGGTTCACTGTATGAATCACTCTGAGTGATGGAGGTTGTTAGTTTTCACGCTCATCCTGTTCATATAATACGCAGCTATCTTTCTAATTATATACAGTTTGTTTTGATGTCTCTTGTTATCTATATTCATCTTTCGTTAAACCTCCAAACTATGACATTATTGTGTTGAATTAAATAACAATTGTGACTATATAGAATTAAGTATAAAAATGTTGTTATAGGATGAAATTGGAGAGATATTTTTGTTGAGCTTGTTATTTTATGTAATAAACAAGCAAAAGTCTTCATATGAAAAAGAGAAAACGTTCAGCGAAGAGACTGCTTTTTCGGCGAATTCATCAACATAGCTGTACAATCACATTTATATATAATTATTTGTGTGTGTGTGTGTACATGAGGTTTGCCAACTTTAGATAATTAATTAGGTAATACAAAAATGATCTAATATAGGAACAAGGTTAATTAGAGGGCAAATAAAGTATGATTAAGTTAGTAAGTTCAGTGACGTAATATAATTGACTAATACGTTCCAACTTAGGTTAGGATAACAACAGAGGTAATTACAGGTGGAGACTGAGTAAAGGTGGGGTAGAGAGTAATGCCATTTAAATTGAGCAACTAAATTGGGTGACGTAACACAAATGACTAGAAATTGAGCGTTGGTCGACTCGGTAACAGTGGTAATGGAGTGCAGAAATTAAAAAGGGTGGGTGTTGAGAACAGGAAAGTTGAAAATGTAGAAATATTACAATTGAAAAGACAAAATAATACTAATGAAGAGCCAGAAAGAAAGAAATAGAATTTACCTGTCGGGTATCAGGATAGATTACGTCCATTGCAAGTGTAGTGACTGAACGAACTTCTTCTGTATGCAGAGTTCAGGACTTCGCAAGTGAATTACCATCGCTTCTGCAGTCTGAAGAAGTCTGATTTGTACACTTTTAGGAAGACTGCTTCGTATTCTGTAGACGACTTTGAATTTTGTTTGAGGTGTAGCTTGGTGTCCAAAATCTATCAGATGTTCTGAGATAGAGCTGCGAGGGCATCGATTTTCTTCTTTGTAAAACCATGCTGGTTAGTGTTCGGTGATGCGTTCGGAAAGCGAACGCTTCAGTATAGCTTAATTTTAAAAGTAGTTAAGTGGTCAACAAAATTTTAGCAGTAAGCGCAAGGCTGCACTTCTATTCTCTGTAGCTTTATACAAAAGTGCGGAATTTCAAGATGCCACACATCATAAAGGCACATTTGAGGTTAGAGAGAAAGAAATGCAAACTACCTATGATATAGGGAAATGTGAGATTGAGGCATATTGCAATTAACCAGAGAGCTCAGGGGATTTCAATTATTTCAGTGCTAGTAGTAAGCAGTCTTTTTTCTTTAAATATGCTGGTTTCTCATCATTTTCACTTTGAATAAGCAACTTTATTTTACAAGATTAATTCCCTGAATGTAATATATATATATATATCAGTTTTAACTGAAAATTTACTTCAGATGAAGGTAACATTTAACTTATTGAAGTTAGTAGAACAACTTACTGCATTATTGTTAACATTATTATTATTCCCTTGGATTCCCAGTGGAACATAGGACTTCGACAGCACATCACGATTAAATCCTGTTCTCTGAAGTTTTATTTAAGCTGGCTTCACGATTGTCTACAAGCATTCAATTCCTTCTAACACCAGCTTCTCCATGTCAACCTTGGACCCTCTACCAACCGTCGTTTCCCATTCGGGTTCCACTCAACGACCTGGTGCATGAAGTCACTCAGAGGTCCCCCTGGAGTGTGTCCAATACATCTGCATTTCTTTCTACATATTTGTTGGGCTTATATATGGATTGTTCACTGGCTCGTTTTCGGATTTCCGCGCTGCTCATCCCCTAAGACCATCTGGTCTTCATCTAAGAGCGAAGGCAGGGCAACCTGGCAGCAGAGTACTGACTTCCAACTAAAGCGGAAAGACACTACCTTAGAAGGTTACTTCTCACCCTCCAAAACCTGGTTTTTTAAAATAATTTTTGCCTCTTTATTTCGCATTACAGATGATAACACAACTTTTAAGATTTATCAATCCTTCAATCAGTGTTATGGTTTGTGGTCACTTAAGTCGTGAGGAGTTGGATGCCGCATCCTTAGCTAATTGTGTAAGTCCTTTCGTTGCTACTTATTCTCACAGTACTCATTTAATTTGATAAAGTAGTAAATGAAACCAAATGAAAGTAATTTCCTTTTAAATTTGTTGTAATGAGCTAGTAAAGAGAGCTAGATATTGCTGCAGAGTTATTTCAGTGCTTTCTATTCATATCGATTTGTGATATAGTCTGCTGTGACATGTACTCAGTCAATACTGAGCTCATTAAAAAAGTGAGAAGTAATTGCGAAGTACTCCTGTCGTACTAAAAAATGTTTAAAGATTTCGGTTCTTCATCTAGTAATGACTGAAGAATGGCATTTAATGAATCAGATAGAGAGAAAATCTTAATATTGAGTAATAAGTGGTGTATGTGTCGATAGCACAGCGGTATAGTGCTCGCCTACCGCGCAGGTGGTCCAGGGTTTGATCCCCGGCCACACGCACTTCTTTACTTCGCTAAGCCAGTAGTAAGACTGGTAAAGAGGGAAGGTTAGGCATAAGACTAGTAACCTCATCCTGTAAAAATAATCACCACTGCTACAGAAACTTCAAGCCTGTAGCTTGAAGTCCGATGTTCCACTGGGAACGTAAAGGAATAAAAAAATGGTATATATAAGAAACAAAATAATTGAGCAAAAAATATCCTTTTCGATAATTTTCCCTTCTGGCTCTACAATTATGTACATCTGTATATATACAGAGTATTCTAGAATAGTAGTCAGTAACAATATTAGTGTTTCTTAAATAATATCGATTTGTTAGGTAAGACTAATGGAATTGCAGTTCAAGAAAGTTGCATGAGTTAAAATAAGCATAAATATGTAACAGCAAATAGAATATCAAATAAAGTTAAGGAAATCGCCATAACAAGCTGAGGATCATTGAAACCTTGAAGGACAGTATCTGGACCAACTTCTTTTGGACACATAAGTTGGGCCTCTTGATATAGATCCCAACGGCCACAGAGACATTTAGTAAACGAACTCTTAATGCAAAGTCAAGATTAGTTGGTATGTGGTAGATGACTTTGAAAGCCTCATTGACCACAATCTTGTGTTCTGTCTCCATAAGATGAGATAGAATAGTGCTGCGAAAGGATTTTGATTGCCCTTTACTCAACCACGTAGGGTGATGTTCGGAAATCCGACGATAAACACGCCTAATTGTACGGCCTGTGTAACTGACTCGACAGGAGAATTTTAATTCGTAAATAAACATGGAAGAGGCGAAATTAAGTAGTTTATCTTTTACTTCCAAACGCAAAATAGGGGTGGTTTTGAAGACAAAGCGTAATTCAGCAACAGGGAATGCTCTTTTTACGCCATTTCTAAGGCGTTGTGTTAGTATCTCTCCGCTGTTATCCTCGAGGAATTGAATTTGTAAGAATAAGGCCATTTTTGGAACTGTTGGTACCTTGGGCTGCCTTGATTTCAGATTCATATTCTTATCAATAATCTTTTCTGGATAACCGTTTTCACTCAGCAACCGTTTAATATTAAGTTTCTAATCAAGACATTGCTCCGAGCAGATGGCTCTTGCTCTGTGAATCAAGCACTTCATCAGATCGCGTTTGTATTTCAAGGGCGCGAAGCTGGAAAAATTGAGTATACTGACAGTCACTTGATATAGGTTTGCTATATACACTTCTTCTTATTGTGCCATCCTATTTTCTGGTCATAAGGACGTCTAGAAAGGAAATACTAGAGTCTTTTTCTTTCTCAATAGTAAAATTCATTGCAGGATGGACCTCGTTAAATTTTTCCAGGATGTTCTTTGCTTCCTCCTTATTTTTCATAAGCAAAAGTGCACCATCCAATGCATTGATAATAGAATTCATGTTCATCAATTACAGAACTCTGATGGAAATGATTTTCATGACTGTCACTCTTAGTCTGTTTATCATGTCTAAGTAGTGATATGACATTGGTGTTGAAAATGGGAATCTTGCTATTTATGGTGACTGCATCAGATTCTTATACTGATTTCAAGGTAGTGAGGCTCTGCGTTGCCTTTCCGATGCTATCTTTTACATCCTCATTCATGCAGCGCGTAGTTGAAATGATACTGTATAGATATTTGATACTTCCTTTAGATTTCTCCAATTGATAGTCCATACTGCCATTTTTGTTGACTGGTAATCCTCACCACCACTATCTTCTCTAAGTTCACTCAAAGTCCTATCTTTGCTCGTTCTTCAAACAGTTTTTTTATTTTTCGCCCGTAGATCTACTTTAAAGTTTCTGTAGCTACTGAACTGATTTTCCTAAGTAGAGTTCCTAGCCCTGCACTAAATCTTCTGCCTTTTTCCAGGCTTCGGACCAGCTGGCAAGTTAGTCAGCCAGTAATAATAATAATTTGCTTTATTCCAGAAACAATACTAGTGGTACAGTGTGGAATTTTCAGCACATATCTACAATGTTTGCATCTAATTTTACAAACATTTAAAAGGAGTATTAAACAAACAAACAAAAAATAAATCTAAAGACACCACCAACAACAAAAAAAACTGGATAAACACAAAATAATTATAAATGCGAAAAAGTACCAAGAAGTAGAAAGGAAAATAAACAGCATATAATAATATCTCAGTATTGGGTAGTGGAAGCTATGCTATGATTATGTATGGTGACAGTAAATCTATAGTCATACAGAAAGTTATGAAATGATATTTAAGAATGTTTATCGCAAAGATGGTCAGTTAATTTGATTGAAACGACTCTAAACAATCATAAAACAACATTTCAGGGTTGTTGTTTCGTTTTTTATTGTCAGGTCTAATGCAGTGTTTGTAGTGGTAGTGTGAGTAATCCTGCATAATACAAAATTTTTTAAGGTGGTGACTATGGCGTTCACAACCAATGATTGTCAGTTTAAATATTGCCGAAAAGTATAGAAAATAAGAAAAAACAACCACAAAACTAATAATTACATGATGGTGAATGACAGGACAATTTTGTAATACTCATAGTGCTAATAGAGTCGGAACCAGTGGATACACAATAGAAGGAATATGGTAAAGTACAAAAAGGAAGCCAATATTAATAATTTAGGTAGCTTAGTATGTTTAAGAAGGAGTTCACTATAGAATACAAAATAAGAGAGAAATAAAAGAGCCTAAAATTATGTTGTTAATAACAAAGCAAGTCATAGGTTTCACGCTTAACATTGTCTCTGTCGCTTAGAACACGGGCCAAGTATGGTATCGTTGAGTTCCATACTTGGCCCGTGTTCTAAGCGACAGAGACAATGTTAAGCGTGAAGCCTATGACTTGCTTTGTTATTAACAACATAGTAAACTAGGCGAGGTAGGTAGCTGAAAATAACATCCAGCATGTAAATAGTTGATATTTGTATCAAACGAATCTATACTAGGTAACATGCATTCTTGTAAACCGGGGCATGATTAGATTTTCTAAGTGGTTACATAATTACATTCCATTCATTTAGAAAATTCACTAATCTATGCATATTTCTCTCTTCCAGATAATCAATGTCCTTGGCCTTAGTATTGATACTGGATTTTCAACTGCTTGTGATACGCTTTTTTCTCAGGTCAGTTAACAACTTTTTTTTTCTCCAATCTTGACTGTCAGGTCAGACATTATGTGAACACACTTGTATAATTTTACTGGACTATCCTCGAGAAAAACGATTTAATGATGATTTGATAAGTTCAGTTCGAATGAAAAACAAGTGTCTATCTCTGTATAAGAGAAAATTGTATGAGGTATTTTGATCGGTGGTTAAAGAATATGTTGAAATTCTGTGATAGAAGTAAAGAGGATAGCACCACAGGAATTGCTGCCGCCTAACAGCTAATTCATCCAGAGTTGAGAACTGGAACTACTGACTCCGAATCTGAATACATTTTAAAAATAATTATCTTTAAAGTTCAAATAGTAAATTATTATTTAAGAAATTCTGAAATGCCCAGTTTTAATGTGATAGAAATGTTTGAAATTTCGTTTCTTTGCATGAAGTGGATTCTTCAGCTTAACTTAAAGTAAGAACTCTGAATTGAAGTGACCATTCTGATCGATAGTGTATCATAACTTAACCGTAGTTTGCTGAACCTTGCTGTAATAATGTATGTCAAGTTTGACCATGGATTAATATCAGTGAGAGAGACATTGAAAGCCACAGAGTACTGCATAACTGTTTTGTTCTAGTTTTGGACTCATCGGCAGAACACATCCATCAGGGTTTGAGTACAGGACTTTCTGTTACAAGCTGAGCTTGTAGACCATTGAGCTTCTGGGACCTTACTCAATGGCCCGTGAATTCTAACTTCTACCAATTCATGATACGTAATAGATTGTATCGTAACTCAGAACCTAAATAATGGGGAAATAATGCTGAAAGGGCACGACTTTCCTCATTTTCAGCAATCTCTGCTATTTTTCTGCATTAACTGCTTTACCAAAACCAGCATAATATTTCTACAGGAATTTTTAAGTTTTCAACCACACAAAACGCTGTTTCAGCATTCAACCGCATTATCAACGCGTTGTTCAGTAATATTGTCATCTAGGGATAGGAATATATTATACATAAAATAAATGACATTCACAAAACAAGCCGTAACAATAAGTGCCATTGGTTTTCAATGATTCTCTAATTTATGTCAATGCTTTGATAAAACCTACACTGAAATTAATCAAAACTACTAAGAAACTCAAAATGTATGAATAGCAGTCTCCAGCGTGTTAGTAACTATAGGATACATGCCCTGAAGCTGTAATGAGAAATTCTTCACTATGGTATCCCCCATTTCATGGTGAGGCGGATTGTCGTCGATTACGTTGGTTGGCGGTGGTGAATTAACAGGAGTTAAAATTCACAAGTCACTGAACTCCAGGCTGGGTGTCTGAATGATAAACGAACTCGGCTTCATAACCTGAAGGTCCAGTTCTTCTTCATTTTATAAGGACTTCGTAACTGATTTCAGTGAGCCACGAAATCTACATTAAAATTGATCGAAATTCTTTCAAAACTTGAAATGCAGAATGTTATTTTTATCACGAGTGAATAAAAAGGACATAAATATAAGCAGACCATTATGTTTTTTGTGAATAATGTTCGATCTCTAATGAATGCAGTTTTGCATAATGATTCAATGTAGTTAACGGCTACTAAAATTTTATTTAAATGCCTTAGGGACTATGCGCTGTATAGTTTTTCGAATATACACTCGTTGATCTTCAATAAATCCAGTGACATAGACTAATGATTTCCCATTTATAGGATAAACCAGTCCGACGATTAAGCCATGCTGTTAAACTGTAGGACTGTCGGTGAAATAGAATTCACACACACCCACACTTTTACTAATACATTTGAATTTACAGCAACAGAAAAGTACCATAATTCAATGAATGACACTAGAATATCCTCACTTTACGTAGACAAGACTTACTAACATAAACTTTTAATTTCATACTACCAGTTTACTTGATTAGTTTGAGCATTGCGTGAACAAACATATTTTGAGGCATGAAACATCTCTCAAATTTTTCATTTCATGGCTTTCCATCAGCTGCTAACGGCCTAAAACATTGGCATTGCATAGTTCAACTCAAAGGGCACAGTTGTGGAACAAAAGCTATGAATACAAGATAGTTAATAATCTAACAACCAGAGGGTATTTATATGTAATGTGATGGAATGTTAGAGAAGAGAGGGTTCCACAGCTGTTCTCATTTGAAGTATGGGATTTATTTTTTTGCGCTTTTAGTGACCTATATCAAATTCTTAGTCTGTTAGCAGCTGATGGAAAGCTATGAAATAAAAGTATGATCTCTTTTATATTCTACAAATATGTTCGTTCTTTGATTGGACACTAGTAACTAGTGTGATGTGTCTAGTCCTTTCTTTGGTGCAGACTGAATTCTATTCAGTCAGGTTTGCAATGTGGCCACCATTCTAGGTAGCTTGCTATCACGGTGCACATTGATTTGATGATATTAGATGGTTGGAGGCAATCGGCAGGAAGCCTTGGACCTAGGTTTCGTGCTAGTTGGCACTCGTTCTTTCTTTGCTCAAAATACAGTTTTAAGCTGCACCATTATGTATGACTGTATTCGCATTTCAATTTCTAATGAAAGTACATCCAGTGTAGAAGCACTAGTGCTAGGAAATATGATGTTATGTATAGATGGACCTTTGACGTTAATACGTCGGTCCTAAGCATACTCGGAATGCATGATGTTCTTCTGAAGACCCAAACACTCAATGATTCATGTTAGAAAAGATTTTTATTTTTTCCAACACTAATAGTGATAAATCTTTTCATTCCGCGACTTGTCAGCTTCGCATTAGCAACCGTTCTTAGCACTTATTAAAGTTCATATATGAATATATCCACTACTCGGAACCAAACAGCAACTTATGTCTTTACTTTCAGGGATTTGATCGATTTCAAGATCGATTACCAACTGGTTTCAGTTAGAGAGCCACTAAAAACTAAGTAGTACATGACGGTTGTTTCGTCCTCGTTTGGGACTCTTCATCAGTGCCTATCTACCACCCGTCTAGGGATGAAACCCAAGACCTTCAGTTTATCAGGTGAGCTTTTAAACCATTTAGCCGCTGGGACGGAATCCAGTGACCCATCAATTCTAACTTCTGTTATGCGTGCGTACTGATGAAGCGTACCAAACAAGGACAAAATAGCCGTCTATTACTGCCTGATTTTCACGGTAGTTCTCCAAATGAAATCAGCAGGTCACATGTTTAATCTGCTTATAAACTTTCTTATCTAAATATTGTTCATACTCCACGATCCTTTATTATTATAAAGTGTATCAAATAAACTAATGTTTTTTTTATTCCTTCACGTTCCCAGGGTAACATAGGGCTCCAAGCTAGAGGCTTGAAGTTTTTGTAGCAGTGTTTATTTTTACAGCCTCATGCCCAACCTTCCCCCTTTACCGGCTTAACGAGGTGAAGGAGTGCATCGGCTGGATATCGAACCCCGGACCATGTGCGTGGTCGGCGAGCGTCCTAACCGCTCTGCCACCGGCGCACCAAAATCAATGTGATTATGTTGAAATAATTTACCAAGCATTATAGTATCGTTTTTATTCCGTAATAACTTCAGACTTGTGAATATATTTTTTATTACTCTTAGGCATATGGAAGCCGGTATCGTAAATTGGTTGGTACATTCCTTCAAAGGGGTAAAGTTGATTAATTAAATTGATTTAATATATTTATGTTATTCTGTTTAGCTTTATTCGTTGTATGCATCATATACTTGATCCTAGTCTGCATACACTTAAATATTGAGGCAGTTTTATTATTACTTGGTCAAGAACCGATAATTTCATCGTAAGTTCTTGTAAATTATTATTTCATTTTTTATTTACATTGATAATAGCAAACTGTCAGTGTTAACTTCTTTTTAAATGAAATTTGCACAACTTCTGTCTGACTACCAAGCTGATTGTGGTGAAAGTTGTCTGCAAGCCAAAATTATAGACAACAGTTTTCATCAATGTTACGTCCCGAATTGGGGTCATGACAAAAACAATAACAAAGCTTAACCTTGAGGAACTCAACAACCAATCATAACAGAGTTAACGTGTGCAAATACGATTCGCAGATATATGGCTTTAATTTCTGAGAAATGGTCCCAAGCAGTACAGAATAACCTTCAGTAGGAAAACAACCAATCAGAAGACGTTGCTTCTCTGGTAACAATAACGAATAATAGTAATGTACATAAAAATCTATAAATACCTCTTGATTTTCTCAATAAACGATCTGTTGCCTGGCCCTTGTCTTCTGTCGTTACAAGATGACATGCTGTGATCCGACCTATCACAGTTTCCAAAAGAATCTGTAGAGAAATTTCACATGGAACTGTGTAAATTGCAAATTAATCTGCCGCTTTCGAATCTGAATTGTGGTATTTCCCGTTCGCTCAGGCAGATAGCCAGAATTTGGGTGGTTTCAACAGATTCAACTCTCTGGACTGAGTCAAACAGGGTACACTGCTGATAAGTTCAGCTCGAAAACGGATGAAACATCTGTCCAGTGTTTAAATCATTCCTATCTGGGCAGCAAGCACTACTGGTTGATGTGAATGGTACACAACTATTCATCTTAATCAGTCAGTGCTATATAGTTTTGATTAACTCAATACTAACATGTCTTCGTCAACTTAATATAAAGTTGACAAAATCCTTAGAACTCTTTCCTTCAGCTTGTTCATGCAAAATTTCTTCCAAAAAAAGGAAGCCTTTGTTATTTGAAAACAAAAGTACCCGCTTTTCAATAACTATAGAGTCAATATTATCCCATGAATTGTGGCTGCGTCAACACTTTGCCTTCGTTATAAGTAGCTTCTTTGAACTAACATTTGAATATGTTGGTCAAAACAGGATTTAATGATGCCAAGCTTTGCAAGAGGATAAAGTCTTTAGGTGAGGTTAAACTATTGCAGCCACCATCAAGAACCTTTTGGGTACCCTTTAACTAACCATATGTGTCATACATGCATTATGTATAGAATTAAGTCTGACATTTCTTTAGATTTCCCTACAATAAATTAGGAAAATTTCCTTTAAACTCAGTGAGGAGAGTTACCTTGTGTCAGTTAAATTGCCAGTATGATGCAAAGTACAATTTATTCACACATTTATTAGTTCTAAGGCTTTATTACCCTGATTGGTTGTTCAAAGATACTTATGAGGTTCTTGGTGATGGCTCGCATAGTTTAACTTTCCCTGTCTTCGTAGTAGGTAAGCAAAAAGTTTTACAATAGTTCTGAGTGTTGTTTCAACTACTGTACTAATTACTTGGCAACGAAAAGGGTGATCCATATTCTTCCTCAGTAGTAACAATGAAGCTCAAGGATCACTTAAAAACATTCATGAAATAATTACTTTAGCGTTATAAAAATCAATTTGGCAAAGTAGCCAATACATCTGAGTAAGATCATGGTGTATAAAAGTTACTTAAACTGTTATCTAAAGTATTCATGCATACAATTTCTCTTATTTTTCTTCATTTAGCCTTACGTCAGAATACATTGCATACTTCCTACCTGGTCTTGGGGTAAGTATTGATTCATCAGGAAGAGTTTTAAGTCATTCCTTTTTTAGCTTAACTGCTTTTGATAATTTGTAGTCAGAAATAAGCAAATTTATTTATATTTACAAGTCTTATTTGATTTCGCGGTACAAATATCTGTCTACATCAGTGTTAATTGCCAATCTTTGCAAGGTCTTTTCAAAAGTTATAAGTTCGGTAGAATAAAATAGTTCGTGGTAACATCGGATATGAGATTTCGATGTGGCTTTACATGCCACATCACCGTCTTTAACATAAGTTCACATGTATACAGACCTGTTTAGACAAATTTAAAAATTTTTGTCGCTTTCTCGACAACCTTCCTCGTCGTGTCATGACTTCAGAGAAGTTTCCAATGGTAAGGTTTTTTGACTTATTATCCAATTAGAAATATTGATGCTCTTTTGGGTTAGCAAATTATTGACTGAGTAAGCAGGTAGATCTGTTGTTACGATCACTTTTTGTCAGGTTCACCTACGGGAACCAGGTTGCAATTTTTACTTCGTCTAACTAGTCAATTTAGGTTGTTTTCTCAGTATCAATCGGGTGGAAAAGACAGCAATCCAACAATTTCACCGAATCATTCAATCATTAGTGGAGAAGGAACTGTGTACAGAAAGGAGGGATATGATTAGCTCACGCTTATGACTCACACTAAATAAGAATTCTTATTTCGCAACAAACAGTTGCTAGCTTTGATCTTAGCACTAAGGAATTCTAGTACGCAGCGAACCAATTAACAACTTACTGCCCAGAAAAGATGCAGAAGGAAATGGAGATAGATTGGACACATGCTGAGGAAATCTTCGAGTGACATCACACGGCAGGGCTGGTGAGTCGGGTGTTTGAGAGTAACGTAGGTGACATAATGTGAAGAGGAAATGAAAGCTTGCAAGCGGTTATAGAGCTGGCTTGAAAAGACTACAAAGAATAGAGTCAGATTGCAGTGTGCCGCTGAAGTCCAATGTATCACCTAGAACCCAAGAAGGGGATAATAATACTTATTTACAAACACCCAGATTTCGAGTAGTTACCGATGAGGCCTAAAGACTAACATGTTAATAAGCTGGAGGGTTTCATCATGAGTTGACATCAGCCAGCAGTACGCACCCACCACCAGAGTTCGAACCCAGGATCTCGTGGTTACAAGGCAAGCTCGTAGACCATTAAGCTACTGGGACCCGATACAATGGTCAACCTATGAATTCTAACTTCTGCCAATCCCTGACAGAGTGCGACCACTTCGCAATGTCTTCTTCGATGAGTTACTACCTCACCTTCAACCTACTGTATCCTAATGGTCCCACTAGAACCCTAGGTAACTGCCTGAAGAGGTTCAGTGGCTAGTGAGCATCAGATTAATTTTCAAGTATCGGTTTTGTAGGAATTGTGTTTGATTGGTTACAGGGTTTCATGGGCCATTGGATCAGATCCCAGTGTCTTAATGGTCCACGAGCGTGCCTTGTAACCAGAAGGTCCTGGGTTCGAACCCTGGCTGCTGAAGAGTCCCAAACTAGGATGAGACGGCTGTCCAGTACTTACAGGTTTTCCAATGATTCTCTAACTGATGTCAGCTCATGATGAAACCCTCCAACCAATCAAACACAATTCCTACAAAACCAATACTTGAAAATTCACATTTTACCAAAATTATAGAAAGTCAACTACGAAATTGCAAACGCGGCACTGTAAGAGGTGTTAAAGTGTTATAGGTTCCGAAGAAATAAAAATGTAAGTTGCTAGAGTTGTTCCCAATAAATATAAATATGAAGCAATGACAAGTACACACAAAGATGGCAGTCATCAGTGAATAATGTTTGTTGGTCACTTGCATAATATTCAAACAGCTACTTTTCCAATGTAGGTAATTTTTACTTTTTATTGCACTGATCTAAGCAATGAACTCTTGATATAAATTGCTCATTGTTCCAATTCGAACTTGAAGTGTTTTGCTGAATTTAGCGTTTCTTCTGCTTTCAGTTTGATTTCCTATTTTTGACGCTTGCTCGGTACTTGCAAACACAAAGTATTCTTATGCCAATGGTATATGCTTCGTTTACTGGAACAGCTATAAACATTGCATTTCAATACTATTTTGTATTTCGGATGAATTATGGACTTCGGTAAGGTATATATATATATATGTATATATAAACTTCATTTCATGTGTTTCATGTCTATTACATTGGTTTTTTGTATGAGTGATAATGTTTTGTAAAAGCTTATTTTATTGATTATACAATTATTGACAGTGTCTGCTTTTTATGCACATGGTGGAGAAACACTTCAGGAAGTATACTTACTCATTTCTTAATTTATTTTTGTTTTATGGTACTTAAGGAATAATTGCATAAGGTAGCTTTTTTATTTTTAGTTTGATTACAGCTTGATGCCACACCGTATTTTCAGTACAAGTATGGAATTTTCAGCATGGATATCGGTAGCCCAAATTTTGCAGGCCGACCATAGATATCGGGTGTGCGCGAAAGAAAAATAAACAAATAAAATGCGTGTTCTTTTTTATCACTCTTGAAAATTAATGTGATGCTCAATAGTGTGTGAATACAGGACAAAGTTGTCTCAGGTTCTAGTGAGAGATCTACTAGATCAGGTGTAAGGACACATAATCACCAATGACCTTGGCTTCTGGTGGCACTAAATTTGTGAATTTACAGAAGTTAGAGTTCATGGATCACTGAGTTCTAGTCTTAGTGGCTGAGTGATCAACTGGCTTGACCTCGTAACCTGCAAGCATTGGGTTCAACACCATGTGGAGTCGTGAGTGCATACTGATGAAGAGTTCCACACTTAGAATAAAACAGCTGTGCAGTACTCCCTGGTTCTCATTGACTTGCCAATTGATCAAAAATGAATCCTTTTATCAAGTTGGTTTGTGTTGGAATATTTACCAAATCTTTTGTATAAGTCAAGATTTTATTTGATAGTAAAACATTCAACAAAAACCTATTTAGATTTCGCGTCTAAAAGTTCGCCATTAGTTTCTGTTTTGACACAGGTGTTTGTGCAACAGAAATTCGGTGAAAAGTAAATTAATGGATAGAATACTATTCAACACTTCTAGAATGCTCAGAAGTAAACACTCAAAAGTGGCAGGGTAGACTAAAAGTCCTCAGGAGGAGTAACTATTCCCAAAGACTTATTTGCAAGACGTTCAGCTGGATGTATATATATATGGACTTGGTAGAAGTTTGGAGAAATTCCACAAAATATACTGTCATGAAAAAGAATTAATGTAAGCAGAATTTCGTCACTGTGGTAGAACATAATTTTATTCGATATAACACACAGTGTTACCCTATTATTAGCTGGACAACGTCTAAAGCACAGTTTATTGCTCGTAGTCATATTGTAGTGGCAGAAGACGAAAGATTTGGTTAATTGGTATCTCTATATAGCCAAATTATGTACACCTTATCTTCAAAGCGGAATTTGCACAGACCTTCGTGTTGTGTTACTTCTGGCCTTCATAACGTGTTTCTTTGCGTTGTTTTCATGTTTCCTATGTACCTCCACAACGCTGTATCATTTCCCTTATCTGACATCAAATGTATCTCTTTGATATTTGATGCTTTCATGCCGATGAACGTCTCTTTATATACTACTAATAAATCTTATCAGCAGCACTCGCATCAGTCAGTTATTTTTATTCCTGTATGTTCCCAGCGGAGCACAGGGCTTCGGGTTATATGCTTAAAGTTTTAGTGGCAGTGATATTTATTTTTACGAGATGAAGCTGCTAGCCTCATGCTCAACCTTCCCTCCTCACCTGTCTTACTGGTGGCTTAGCGAGGTAAAGGAGTGCCCCGGCTGGGGTTCAAACCATGATCCAAATGCATGGTTGGCGAGCATTCTACCGCTGTGCCACTGACGCACTACAGTTCAGATACTCAACTACAACTGAGAAAACCCAATAACACACAAAAAGAGATAAATAAAAATTATTCGAAAGAGCCAACAAGCAAAGCAGTACTCCTGACTTGATGAGAATAGGAAAGAAATACATTGTCACCATCTTCCAGAAAAATATATTTCCATAAAATTTCATCAAAAGATGCCTACCCAGCCAACCAACTCTAAAGTATCCAATAAAAGCACAAACGAAAATCACCCTATCAAAAAGACTAGTACTCAGACGAGTTTGTAATCAACAGGTACATTGATACAGATAACATTTATCGATCAATAATAAGAAATTATCTGAACAAAGGTCAACAAAATAATCAATACCAGTATTAGTGAACTAGAGGATCAGAAGATCTCCAGAAACACACAGTCACGTTCAAGATAACTCAGGGAGACGCGTGATAAACCCTTCAAATACAACCACACTTACACTGTTTTTTAGAAATAAAGTAACCGCCTTGTAGAATCACATTGATCTCAGTAATATTAATAGTGTTTGATCTATCCGCTGCATTTGTTACTAATTACGCTTTGGTTACTTGACATATCGGCTTCTAACAGAGATTAAGAAATGTCACATAAAAATTGCTTTTTTAGACGTCATCGAGACAGTGAGGGTGGGGGGGGGGGTAGATGTATATTTTCACTGATAATTTATTATCAGACTTAGTACCTACGTGCATAACGTCTAGATAAGCTACTAATCTGGTACACTGGTTAGTTACCATGTCATCTAATTTTTGTAACAGATCTTTTCTGTGTTTAAGAAGAGCCACTTATTGTAATACATTATTAGGTTGAATTACACTTGAAATAATGAATTCTAGTTTTATGATTTAAGTGGTCGTGTGATTTCATAGTCACATTTTTCTGAAAAGTCATATGCACATACTGAAACTGATGTGCTTAATTACTGTTGATTTTGAAACAGGCCACCTCTGAATGCCTTTATATAGTGACATCTCTCTCGAGTGAATAGTATTATGTCCATCCAAATTAAAATATATTTTTTTGTTTACAGTTCAGTAGTCAGTCAGTCTTGAACGCGTGATTTATGTCCTAATTACTGTTAAGTCAAAGAGGGGTATTTCAATTAGCTAATTAGTGTATGCACAGAAGATGTTTTTTGTAAAATTCTGAAGGAGGGTTTTAGAATTTAAATTTTATTATTTTTATGTTGTGTTGGCTTATGACAAATTAAACGATGGTATAATGTATTATTTATATATATATCTGCATTTATCAGTCTGCTTTTAAACAAAACTGTTTTTCAAAAGAATGGATACTGAACAAAGAGTACACTTTTCGATAAATTCATCATCAGGCTCTACAGTTATAAATATACATCATAGGGAATGAATGAATTAGTGTTATGAACAAAATTAATGTTGTTTAAATAACATCGAATCAATAATATTGATAGATTACAGCTCAATAGCATCAACATAAAGTAAGCTGAATGTCGGAAAAGTTAGGAAAGATAATATTACAACTTTATGAATTTATAGTCTCTACTGAAGGCCGACCGGGGCAGTAGTAGTGGCTGGCTGGACTTGCTTCTTTTGGACACAGAGCACTGGTTGTTTGAGGCGAATCGCAATAGCCTGTGTTGTTTGGAGCATGCGGAGCTTCAATGGTTTTGGCAGCTTATTAGGCACCCGGTATATTATAGAGAAGGATTCTTCTACGTTGGCTTTGTGACTGGTCTGCACCAGATGGTCTAATATCGAGCTGTTAATAGTTTTAACTACACCTTTACTTAGCCATAGTGGGAGATGTTCTTGAGCACGAAAAATCAAGTTCCTAGAGCAACGGTCAATATAACTCGCTCCTCAAGCGCAGTTGAATTGGTAAATACAGTCTGAAGTGGCTAGTCTAGGTACTTCATCTTTCAGTCGAGATAGCACCATCGGTAGTGTAGAGAATAATACGTGTACTTCAACGACTACACTGGATAAAGAGGGGATTGGAGTAGTGCATCAATTCGAGACACCAGATTTCACAACATTGCATAATGATATGAGACAAGCTCTGTAGGCTAAAAAACCCGGTAGACCCAATTAAACAAAGTAATATAATTTACAAAATACCCTGCAATGACTGTGAGTTAAGTCAACTACATAGGTCAGACTAGTAGATCAGGAGTAGTGAGATTATCAGAACATAAGAATTTAGCTAAGGTTAGAATGATTGATCCCACGAAGATAAGTAATTTAGAAAAAATTCAGCAATTGCACTGCATGCATTAACACACAACCACACAATAGGGTGAGAGACGGTTAAAATTCTAATAAGTAATCTAGGCAGATAGAGAGAGAGATTGATTACTGAATCCTGGATCATCGAGTCTACACCCCACACATGCAACAGAAGTGACTCAATGCAAATACCAGGAACATAGAAGATATTATTAACACCAATCAGTCAAATCAGAGGAGGATAATAAATAATCTTAAAATTCTATCTCCATTCATGTACATCATAACATTCTAACAGGTTACTTATTTTTACTATGAAAAAATCTTATTTCCTATCTGATTGTACTTGATTGATAATACTAATAATATTTCTGAATGTACATTATCTTATATTGATTTTTATTCAAATGTCTCATCATCAATTTCACTCAGGTATATAAGTGAGGTAAAAAGTTGTGTGCGTGACTTGATATGATTATGAGTAACAATAGTTTGTACTGGAAACACCATCAGTAAATATTACTGTACAACACTGTGTGATATCTTATCTATTATGGAGTTATACTCTACCACAGTGGCCAAGTTTTATACTTATATCAATGATGTGAGCTGTTGGCTTGCTTGAATCGGTTTGTATCCAATTCAGTGTAGCATACTTTCACTAACTCTTTCTTCTTTCAACCATTCCATTATATCCTTTAGTCGCAAAATGTACTCATACACATTTTTAATTGGCCTTCAAACTACCGATGTGCGGGTCTCAGAGGTGAAGAGGAAATGCCACAAGAGAGTGGTCTTTGATTCAGATCTAACAACAATGTGTCACGTGGTATACTACAGATTGCTATTCTACCAGAAGGCCCTGTATGTAGAGAAAATATCATGCAATAGATTAAGCTGTAAATTCTGTCCATAGTGTAAAGGTTGTGTTCAGAAAAAAAATAGGTGTAATCATTAAATATTTTAGTAAATATAAATAGAATTTTAAGAGATCCTACGGAAAACCATATAAAAGGTAACAGTGAAATCAAACTCAACGAAAAAAAGATGTTCAAACTTGGAAAATTGATAAAAAAGGAAATCCGTTCACCTATTGTAAGCCACTTTTGATCATGCCACTAACTGACTTTCTATATCTTGAATGTATGATTGAGTCGACCTAATCTATACAGTTTCAATGCCTGTTTTTTATATGCACCAAACATTTGTAATCTCATCTTATTTCACACAATATTGTTCATCTGACTGCAGCACTGAGTGACCCGAATTAGAATCTCACGATTGCAGATATGCCCTGATGGCGAGTATCAACAAGCACGAAACCTCAGTGGACGGCTTCCTACCGACTGTCTTCATCCGTCGGGCTATGATTCAGCATGCACTGAGATGGTGAATCACTCAGCATGATAGCCACACTGAAAACTTGACTGGTAGAATTCAGACTGCACCAAACGAAGGACTACATGCGTGATATCAGTTGCTACTTAGTGTGCAACCAAAGTGAGGGAGGTGACTGTTTAACTTCTACACCATGGGTTCCAGTCATACTGTTGGGTATTCAGAGTTATGTGAAATGTATGATAACTGACACGTTACACTGTAAGTCATTTACCAGATTATCTTCAGGATGTGTCCTCCCTCCGGTTTCCTCAAGTATTCAGTTATAGTGTCAAAAAAGTAGACAGTGATGTGGTTGGCGCTGTTTGTTTGGATAATTATTTTTCATCTTAAATTTCAGTGTCAGACATTACAGTTACATGATATAAAAAAATATAATTATTGCTTCATTTGTTGTTTTTAAATTCTAGTGCGTCAGCTCTCTGTCTTTCTTTTTCGTTTGGATGCATGTTTCTATGTGAACTTGGATATATAATTACATCAAAAGTCTATAAAAGCACGTGGGATGGTAAGTTGACAATCTGGTTTTCTCTCACCTTTTTTTGTTTGTCTGCATAAATGTGTTTAAATATAATGCTGATATGACAAATTGATTAGTTGGTCTACAGGTATATCTGTAAACGTGTCTTGTACTTGTATGAATGAATCAGTCTAATATTTGAGACTAGTTAAAGTTGAAGCATGCAGCTTTCTGAAAACTGTTGTCATAAACAAAGAATTTTAGGAGCAGACATTTTAAGTTTAAGTTTGGTTTCTTCACTATTTTATTATTATTACTTTGGCCTCTGAGGGGGGGGGGGCGTGGGGCTTCACCAGTACTTCTTCATTTCACCCTATACTCTGCAGTCCTTTTGAGCTAGCCCCAGGATTACCCATGGGCTTTCGGTTTCCCCTCACACCACCTCCTCCATGTTAACTATAGACGCCCAACTCTCAGCCTTGTATTTGTGTTCCACTCGTGGTGCCCCTCCGTGTGCATCTAATTCATCTGGATTCCATTCTGCACATTTATTAGGGGACCAGGATCTTGGCTGGTGCGTTCTGCTTCTATACTAAGTGCATACGCTTCTTTATTCTGACTTAGAAAGCAAAAGGATTCAGGAATGTTAGTTTTGATTGCTGTTGTATTCACTTCGTTCATTTGGGGTCGTTGTGCTCAGCTTGCTCATAAATTGGTTACAAATATTTAGGAATTAACTGCTATAAAAAAAGTAAAATTTTGAGAATGTGTATTGATGTGTGACAAAATGAGAAATGCATTTGTAAAATTTGTGCATAAAAAGCATTCATAGAGTGGGACAATTAACTGAAAATCGCCTAAAGTAGCCCTATTTTACTTCTTATTAGCTGAAACATTCAGAGAAGAAATTCCTAACTTTCATAGCAGTAAGGACATACCTAATAGTAAGAATTAATCATATGGATACACTAAGATGTGCTTAACACTTCTGGGAAATCTAAGGAAATTTTAGTGGACAATTTAGGATGTTTAAGAAACCCGTTTTGTTTAAATCACCCATTTAAAAAAGTGCTCAATTATGTAAGAAAATTATTGTAGTTTGTTACTAAAGCACTTAAAGTTTAGTCCTAAGTATATATCATTAAGCAAAGTACATTCGTTGTACTCTATTTTCTGTAATGAGTATTTAACATTCACATAGTATTGTTTTCGATGTAGTTGTGTTCTCTGAGCTGGATGGTTCATTTGTGAAGCTTTCATTGCCCTACTGGGCAACATCTTCAGTGCATACTTCAGTCTGTTGAAGTTGGTTTTCAGATTTCTCCACGAGTTTTTTAAGTCATCTCTCCTGGTGACCTCGAACATGATTGCTTGTTTTTGTGTGCCTTGACACTCTCTAGGCTACGTTTATTGGTAGTGATTGTTTCCTTGACCTGAAGTTTGGCCCTTTGTGTGTGAGGTTTCCTTCTTATCGATTGGTAAACTTTGTCTATGTCAATGTGTGTCTATTATTAATTAACGATTCACTGGAATACCAGACTTCAAGAAATTCTCTAGCATTCTTAATGTTTCCTCTATCTAATATGTGAACGTTGTCCGAGTCGAATCGATGTCCATGGTTATCTGTATATAGTGATATGAGGGAGTGGATGTCATGTCTTTAGACCGCTAGCTTATGTTTATGGATATGAAGACTAAGGGGATGTCGACTTCTCCATTATATCTAAATGGTATTGCATTTAACAATTTTCCCCTGAGAATAGAAGTAAGTAGAATGAATCGAAGTAACAGTTTGCAAATCACAGCTCTAAGTGAAATTTCATTACAGTTTCCTTTGGAAATTGGAATTATTCCCAAATAATTTGCAATAATTTGAATTGAATGGTGTCTGATTACTTATATTACTCAATCAGTAGTATATAGACAGATGTTGAGAAAATCAACAGATATTTATAGATTTCTATGTATATTATTATTAGCGTTACTGTTAGCAGAGAAGCAACGTCTTCTGATTGATTGTTTTCCTACGGAAGGTTATTCTGTCATCTCCTTGTTGCCGTTTCTTAGACAGTCCGGTGATACATCTGCAAATCGTATTTGCACACATCAGGTCTGCTGTGACTGATTGTTGAGTTCCTCAAAGTTAGGCCTTGTTCTTGTTTTTCCTCATGACCACGATTAGGGCGTAAACATTGACGTCAATTGTTGTCTACAATTTTGTCTTGCAGACAGCTCTCACCACATAATGACTTATCGAAACTCTCAGATGGTGTCTAGATCATTTTCACTTTACTGGCAGACACTAATGTTTGATGTGAGCGGTTTACAACTGTGCATATTAATCACTGATATTTAACATTTTACATCTGCTATGGCACGTAAATGAGTAAAACTCAGAGTTGGAAAATAAATAAAACTTTACACTGCATTCTGAATAAAGAAACAATGAGCATCTTTCAAGGATAATACTGTAACAACAGAAGACAAGGGCCAGGCAACAGATCGTTTATTAAGGAAATCAACACATATTTAGAGATTTTCATGTACATTATTATAGTTTATTTAAGCGAACAAACACAGTCTTCCGATTGGTTGTTTCTCACTTAAAGTTAATCTTTCATCTCTTGTGACTGTTTCTTGAATGTCAGGTCATCTATATGTTAACTGTATCCGCCTACGCAAAGTCTGCTGTGGTCGGTTTTGAATCAGTCTTTGTTCATATTTTCTCACGACAACTCTTGAGAACGTAAACATTGACGTAAATTACTGTCTACCAATTTGGCTAGTAGACAGCTCTCACCACACTCGTCCCCCCGTCAAACAGTTTGGACTGAAGTCGGCTTGATCTTCTTGGTGCTGGCGTCATCGTTGGCTTGTCTCGCTCTATCCATTTCTGGAGCTCGCTGATGTTCACCCGCTTCTCTCTGTTTGCATTTTTGATGGTATATACGTGCCTCTGTCTCGCGGTGACCGTGTATGGTCCTTCCCACTTTGGTAGCAGTTTCTGCGACCCTGGCACGTATCCGCCGGTGTTTCGCCTATCTCTACATTTGACTTGATCTCCGATCTCGAATGCGGGGTACTTCTCCTTTACCCCAGTTCGGCCTTCTCAGCGTCCACTTTCTGCTTTCGTTGTACGTTGTTGATGTCTTCTTTCCGCTCCGTCCGCCATCTCGTCATACTCCAATGCTGATGAAGAGGCCAGGTCTTGTTATGTATCGGCTCTCACCACAATACTAAAAGATCGTTTTATTTCGTGGATTCTTTTCAACTTTGTATATCCTAAATTAGTCAATTATAATATATTACAAAGTTTCCTAACATACTTTCTACAATGATTTCAATTTATGGATAGAAAGAATCAGCAACAAGCGAAATCAGAACTCCACCTCTTTGTCTGAGTACTATTTAAATAGTTACTCTTTTAACATTAGATTATTGCCTACTTGAATCATCTTTGAAGCTGTGTTGCTTATTCTCTCTATTTACAACTTAAAATCACTGTAAAAAGTATGTTAGGAAATGTTTTTTAACATATAATTGATTTATTCAGGATGTACGCAGTTGAAGACAGTTCACGAAATTAAACGAGCTCGTATCATCCTGCAAGTATGTTCGTTCTTTCTTGATTCAAACTAATAAAGGGGATAGGCTGTATGAAATTTACACTGTATGACATCACATAAATATATTTTACTGAATTAGCGGTCTACTAGACCGTTGATGGTGAAAAAGTGATGAAAATTTCTGGCCAACAGCGACAGCAACAACAACAGACAACAGTCAGCATAAATGGGAGAAATCTGAAAGAAGCGAACTCCTTTACTTATCCGCCTACCTGGGAAGCATCGTTTCAACTACAGGCGGTCGGGACTGACGGAGATATCAAAGCGGGGATCGGGAAAGTAAGACAAGCTTTCATTTCTCTCAAGTCTGTGTGGAGGTCAACAGTACTCAGCATGAAAAAAAGGTGCTGATTTTTAACTGCAATGTGAAGTCAGTGTTACTATACGGAACAGAGACTTGCACTGCGCGTCATGGATGGCACTTCGAACAAACTACAGACCTCCATCAACAGCTGTCTCCACTCAGCACTACTCAGGATCAGATGGCCGGCCAGAAAAGATCAGCAACAGGGATCTCTGGTGATGAGTGAACCAACCCAGCAGGAACCGAGTGTGCAACAAATATTCAGGAAGAAATGGAGGTGGATTGGCCATACTCTGAGAAAATAAACCATCAAGTGACATAACATAACAGGCCATCGCTCGAGTGGAACCCTAATGAGAAGCGTCGAGTTAGTCGTCACTGCGGGGGTGACATGGAGATGAAAGCATGAGGGCAGACGTGGAGCCAGGTGAAAACGTTTTCAGAGAACCGAATACAATGGAGACGTGAGGCTGAAGCCCTATGTTTCTCTAGGAACCAAAGGACACGTTAATAAGACCGCTGAGCGGTAGTACAGAATTAGGATTCCAGTTCCTTCATCACTGTGAGTAGGTTTAAATACAGCTGCATAAGATGTTCTTTTCTGTCACGTCAAAATTACTATTCTGAATATTTCTGAATAGGTTTACTTAAATTTTAAAGTAAATAATATTACATAGTCTTTAGTCTTATGAACAAGATATATGTGATTGTAGGATTTGCTTTTCATAAAAGTAAACTCAGTGCATTGTAAGACTACAATTTATGACCTTTGTTTTACTCAGGTTAGTGTTCGACTATAACATTGTCAGGAGGTAACTCTTCTGCATGGCAGTGACAAATATGTCTTCGTGACCTACTTCTATGTGACCGAATTTCTCCACCATAATGCAAATTCTATGGACACCAAATTCTTGATATAAAGTCAATGAGACACTTTTGCACTCAGTTTATGCCAATGATTGCTACATATAGAGAACTTTCTTGCTTCTGTACTTAAATTACTCTTAATGTCCTAGTGGACTGCCTGTAAAAGACAAGTTGTCGTGTCCACTTATTGTAGCAGGGTGAGGGTGAGGTTTTCTGCCGCTAAAATTTCACCTGAAAAATGTTTGAACAGAAATAATGTTTTTTGTTAAAATTGTGTAGTATTTTATGAAGAGTGTTGTAGACTGTAGACTATTTATATGGCATTGTTGGCCTGATCTAACCGCCATACTCTTTACATACTGGTTGCAAGCGTCTACATTTCAGCCGAACTGCGTTAAAATGTTGCTACTAAAAGACGAGAAGAATAACTGAACGTGTGTGACATGATTTATTTTCTGTATGAGGTGTTCCTTTTTCGACACAGATTCCCCATTATCAAGACTCCGTGGATTTCATTGGTTACTAAGAATTTTAGCAGATATTTAAATGAAAGAGCAGGTCACTTTCGGTCCTCCTAGTATGATTAAAAGAATATTCACATGATAAAGTTTGAAGATCCAAAATTATCTTGTATTGTGTGGGTTGTAAATATACATAAAGCTTCAAGGTACTGACGTAAATACTCCATTATGGATAAGATTTTATTTTGATAAATACCATATCATATCAAGTTGATATGATTATGAGCAATAGTTTATGCTCGAAACGTCATCAGTTAATATTACTGTACAACACTGTGTGATTTATCAAAATAAAATCTTATCCATGATGGAGTTATGCTCTTCCACAGTGCCCAAGTTTTATACTGACGTAAATAATTATCACGTTTTTATGAAGTTTGACAGTGCGCTGGATTTTCATTATTATTATTATTTCTGAAAACTAGTTGTATAATTAATGAGTAGAGAAAGTTGTTCTGTGAAAAATAATTGAAGCAAAATTAAATGGCAGATAGTGGTTTATTTAGAATCGGCGGGGTTCGTTTATTGTAAATTTTAGAGGCAACGTCTAATAGATTAGTGAATTGTTTCAAACATACCAGAAATTAACCTCTGGTATAGGAGGAGAAGGCGTGAAGGTCTCAAAGCAACAATTGGAAAGGCAAGATACGCCTTCATCAACCTGAAATCAGTTTGGAAATCTCCTGCACTCAATCATCCAGAATAAAGAACAAGATTGGGATTCTGTTCAACACAAATGTGGAGTCAGTCACTGCTTCTATACAGGTCAGAAACTTGCACTGCGTGTCATGAAGAGGACTTCAAACAGACCACTGTAGACTTTTATCAACAGCTGTCATCTTCGCTGGCTTCATATTGAAGATCAGATGGCCAGCCAGAAAGAATTTGCAGCAAAACACTGTGACAACAAACCAACCAAGAGCCGATTGTTCAACCAATATGTGTATGAAAATGGAGATGAATCGGGCATTCACTGACGAGGCCGTCGAATGACATCGCTCGCAATGCAGGCCATCTCTCGAGTAGAATCGGAATGGGAAGCAAAACGTGGGTCGTCAATGTGAGGGTGACATGGAAAAGATCGTGTTGCGAGGAGATGAGAGATTATGGGCAATCGTGGACCTTGTTGAAGAGGATGGCAGAAAATGAAAGAAAGTGAAGATGTGTCGTTGAAGCCTTATGTTCCACTAGGAATGCAGAGGGAATAATTTATATATATATATATAACATACAGAACATTTCTGTAATCATACAAATAATTCTCTGTTTGTGTTCTCAGCCAAGTAAAGTTTGTGTATTTGGAAATAATTGGAAAACTTCTGTGATTCAGGATGATAAAGGATACCGTTTAATTTTCTCCATTCTTCGGGCTTTGATGGCAAACGTTTCATCAGTATGGATGGTGCCTTCTTTGGCACTAATTTAAAAGTAAACATAACCACCAAGTCTAGTGATGTAATCCCTACAGATCAAAGTCATAGATCAAATAAGACCGTTCTTATTCCTTTAGTGTTCCGGGTATAACATAAAGCTTCAGTCTTGAGCACTGACTTTTTCCTAGCAGTGACATTATATTCTAATGGGTGAGTCTGCCAGCATCACTCCACACTTCCTCTCTTTTTCTGGCTTACTATCACTTAACCGAGGTTCAGGAGTGCTTTAGCCGGGAATCTAACCCAGGACCACGAACGTGGTTGGAGAGTATTCCACCGATGAACATGATGTATGTTTAGAAGAAGAATTCAAAGTTTAGGATTAGTGCACCAAAATATCGGAAAGTGTTAAAAACGAAATGGCCAGCAGTCATTTAGCGAATTTTTACTCTCACTATTCAAAGAAATTTGTAACTTAAGCACTTGTGGGAGCTAAACGAAAAACCACTGATATCATCCTTGCATTTCAATAAGAATTTCACCTTAAAGTAAAAGAATCTATTGTCCAAAGATACTATTAACGATGTAAACTAAATCACTTTGTATACTGTTTGTTTTTCAGGGTTCAATTTAGTTTCTGCCTTAAGTAACTGGAGTGTATTTATCCAACTAGGCATTCCTGGTATATTTATGGTAGCTCTTGAAGAATGGTGTTTTGAAATAATGACACTGATTGCAGGTTAGTCAATTACCTTAAACTTATGTTTAAATCTTCTGTGTAACATGATTGATAAAACGAACCTAGTGGCTAATGCGTCGAATAAACACAGGAGATTACCTCACAAAATATCATGCCGGATCGGTCGAGGCCCGGATTAACAACGACCGCGCTTCCTGCTGCTGTGTCACAGGGTGGAAGTGATAAATATGCTACTGAGACACACCAAACAAGAAAGAACAAACAAAAACAGGCCGCGTGTGACCGGCCTCAAGCAGTTGTCCCCTGGGCTCTGCGGTCACGCAACACTAACCTTTTCTCTCTCCCCTTCTCAGGCGTGAGGCTAGCAACCCCACCCTGTAAACAAGGCTGCTACAGAAACTTCAGAACGATGAATCTCCTTGAGCCAAAAGAAAAAGTCTGTGTGGGGACATGGAATGTTCGCACCATGTACGAGATTGGCAAAGCTGCCCAGATCGCAAACGAAATGAAAGGATACGGAATTCAAGTACTGGGGATATGTGAAAGCAGATGGAACGAGAATAGACTCACCAAGTTGTCAAAGGGTGGGTCAGTGATCTACTCCGGTCACCCAGAGGATAACCACATGCACACCGAGGGCGTGGCTATCATAATATCACCAACGGCAACGAAGACTCTGATGAAACCATCAAGTGACATCACTAGACAAGCCATTGCTCGAGTGGAACCCGAAAGGGATGCGGCGAGTTGGTCGTCAGTGTGCGGGTGACTTGGAGGAGGCTATGTGAAGAGGAGATGAAAACGTGTGGACAGACTTGGAGCCAGGTGAAGACTCTAGCAGAGAACCGAACTCAATTAAGACGCACGGCTGAAGCCCTATGTTCCTGTAGGAATTAAAGGAAACAATAATAATAATACCTTGATGGGGATTATCGAATTCTGTGGGTACCTTTCGGAGTAATCAAAGTTGGTTCTGTCTCCTTGTGATAGACATGAAACATGAGAACACATCACCAAACCACTGGGGTTAAAGAGACTACAACTAGTGGTCAGTATATATTTTAAAACCTTGAATTCTGTTTTTTTCATATGATTTGAAACTCTGAAGTAATTAGTGGTTGTAAGCATGCTACAAGAAAATTATTTAAGAGTTCCTGAAGGTTTAGAAAAATATTTGGCCAAGTGAATACTAAAGTTAAAAGTGTAGCTAAATGATGGCTTACGGTTGTAGAACGTTAAGCGTTAGATAGGCTGTATAGATGTGCACCATTCAAGCCATTAAAAGTATCAGATATTTTTAGGTATCAAGTAGAATCATAATTATCAAATGGTGTGGTCAGTTTCAGCAATTTCAACTTTGAATTCGGAATGTCTTCCAAGCCTAAACTGCCTACTAGGCAATCACTTTTTGATTTGTCTGCATTTCATCAACTGCTTATGACCTGGAACATCAAAATATGCAGTTGAATTGGAAATGTGATATGTTTCAGTTCATTAGTGAAGACAGGATATCTCTCTGTAATCAATAAATAGGTTGAATACAAGGTAGTACTGTGTAACAAGTTATCAGAATTATTTTTCAAGTCTTTCAAGTAAATCATCGAAGAAGACATTGCGAAGTGGTCATGCTATGTCATGGAGAAGCAGAAGTTAGAATTCATGGGCCATTGGATCGGGCTTAATGGTCTGTGAGCTTGCCTTATAACCAGAAGGTCTCAGGTTCAAACCATGGTGGTGGATACGTGCTGATGAAGAGTCTTAGACTGGCACGAAACAGATGTCCGGTACTCCCTGCAGGTTTTCCAGTGGTTTTCCAACTGATGTCAACTCATGATGAAATCCTCTAATCTATTAGAATTATATTGAAATCTCCTGAAAAATAGCAGAGGTTGCAACGTTTTACTTAGGGAGTAGAATTTTAAACTACTTAGGTAATTCAGGACAAAGTGGTCGAAGAAGCAGCAAAGACAGGACTCCAGGTGAACATAGACAAAACGGAGGTTATGAAAATAACCAACCAACCAACAACAACAACAGCAGCAACATCCAGCGCCAATCACCATCAACGGGAGGGATTTGAAAGAGGTTACTTCATTCACTTATCTAGGGAGCATTGTCTCAACTACAGGGGGAACGGACGAAGATGTCAAATCGAGAATCGGGAAGGCGAGAAACACATTCATCAACCTGAAACCAATCTGGAAATCTTCGTCACTCAGCATCAACAACAAAATTCGGATTTTCAATACAAACATCAAGTCAGTCACTTCTTCTATACGGATGGGTCAGAAACTTGGCGGGTCGCAAAGAATATTTCCAACAGCCTGTTGCAGACCTTTATCAACAACTGTCTTCGTTCTATACTGAAGATGAGATGGCCGGAAAGAACAAGAACCAACAAGAAACTATGGGAAGAAACAAAACAAGAACCAATCGCTCAACAAATATGCAGGAGAAAGTGGAGATGGATTGGACACTCGCTGAGGAGGCCGCTGGGTGACATCGCGCGTCACGCCATAGCTCGAGTGGAACCTGAAAGGGAAGCGGCGAGTTGGACATCGGTGCAAGGGTGACATGGAGGAGATCGTGTGAAGAGGAGTTGAAACAGTATGGACTAACATGGATGCAAGTGAAAAGTACAGCAGAAGACAGAAGCAAGTGGAGACGTGTAGTTGAAGCCCTATGTTCCACTAGGAACCCAAGGGAACAATAATAATGATAATAATAATAATGCAAAATATGGTGATTCAAGCTCCACTAATAGATCAGAAGTATTAAAAGTGCCAGAGGACTCATGCAAGCCTGGTACTTTATCAGTAAATAAAGAACAAGTCACACGACAAAAATGTCAAATATATTGAGTTAATAATACTACAAGTGTCAACGCAAATGGAAATAAGGGTAAGAAAACTTCTGAAGTCAACCAATCACGGTGAAGGTTATCAAGAGAGACAGTTAAATTCTTCATAAGGGATTACCAAATCTCACTGTGTACTGAAGTTAGCATTGATGTTGTTTTTCTAGGCGCATAATTAGACTCTAGAGAACAAATTGACACCGAAAATATCCACGTCAGCTACAAATGTTCTTATTTACATATGCAGTGATTGTGCATTCACAGACTTTCAAATAAAGTAACTCAACAATGCACAATACTATATATCTATATTAGCATGTAGAAAATTCACTGGTCTACAGGAAGTGGATCATGCATATTTGGAATAACGTTTCAAAGTCTTGGTTGTCAAATTTAGGAGTAGATAACTGCGTTTAGTTTGCGCTAGAGTCTGTGTATAGTTTTCTTATTTTGATGTTGCAAATACCGGTAGTCACTTTGCATGAATTAAATTCACATGATTCTGATAGAGTATGTTTTATTTTTTAGGTACCATTAGTGATGTTACGCTAGGTGCACAAGCTATTGTATTTCAGATTCAGTCTTTCATATATGTGGTAAGCTAATTAACATTGTCACTTTACACGTTGTATTCAATGTTTCATAATATTTTGTATCATAAAACAGCGACTGGATTTATGTCAGTTGAAAAGACTAGTTTCGTTCAAAGTTGAATATGAACCATTCAGAGATGGAAAAGGTTGACATTTGCTTCGACAAGGAGGCAGGCTGAATTATTTAGTAAAACTGTAAACTAAGGAAAAACACTTGCTTTAAAAGAGTTGGATATACCTTCTGGTGGTTCACGGATAGAATGCTCGCCCACCAAGCAAGTATTCCGGGTTTTGATGCTCGAATGAGACCAGCAACTTTACTCCTTAAAAGACAACACCACTGCTACTGTGAACGTGCAAAACCTAAGCTTGAAGTTCTATACTTTACTCGGAATGCAAAGGAGAGAAGAAGATATTCAGAGACATAAAACTGTTTAGTTGAAATCGTCTCATTTATGTACGAAACATTACAAAGCGTATAGTGTTTTGCTATTCAGTAGCTACAAGGATGACGGAATTCTCAGCCGGTGATTACAGAAGCCAAATTAAGAGTGATAAGTATAAATTAGGCATTTTCATAATGTTAAACGAAGCTTATAAATGATAATAAGGTTAGAAATACTAAAAAACCACATAATCCTGTAATAAGGTTTCCTTGACTTTGGTAAGAAGGTATTAGCATTTTTAGCTACAGAAGCCAGTGTTATCTGTTTGATTCCTGTGTGTATACAGGGCCAATAGACGCATGACATTCGTTAATGCTTTGTGACCACTCAATGCATTCATCATTGTCCTACTTGGAGTCAGTCGTCAGATCAAATAGCTTAGTGTTAACGTCTCTGAAGGGAGCACTGGATGACGTGGACTTGAATCTTATGGCGTGGGCATAAGTTTCTTTGAGGTTACAGTTACGCCCTACTACTGATGGGTGCACCCTGACAACTGTCTCCGACCATTTGATATCAATGATATTAGAATAAAACTTGTGCACTGTGGTAAAGTGTAATTCCATTATGGGTAAATTTTGTTTCGATAAAGTCTCACAGTGTTGTACAGTAATGTTTACTGATGATGTTTCGGGCACAACATTATTGCTCATAATCATATCACCTTGAAATGATTACATACATATATTGTGAAGACCAGCTGAGTAAATCCGCATTGTTACGCATTTAGAATTCGTGTAGCTAAACCTTGCTCCAAACTAACTGAAGAAAAGGACTGTTCAAGGGGCATAACAAGTCTCAATTTTGATCACAGATTGATATCAAACAGAGAGCCATTGAAAACCGAGAAGTACTGGAAAGCTGTTTTTTCAGAAGTACACACGCACTGCTACACCTGAAACCTCCAGGTTTGGAGGTCAAACATGTTGACCATTCAGAAACTTGAGCTAGAATTCACTGACTTGCGAGTTCACACTTCCGTCAATTCGCTATTTTGGTGCGACTACCAGCCAACGTCATCGGTGAATATTTACCCTCACACCTGACAAAGTTAAGAATTCATGGGATGTTGGGTTCGGCTGAATGGTTAATGGACTGAAAGGTTTGTATCCTGAAGGCAACACGTTTGACTCTTGGTAGAGTTATGCGTACGGAGTGCTGAACAGTCGGAAACTGAGGTATAACAACTGACCAGTGCTTCCTGGTTTTCAGTAGTTCTCTGTCCCCTCATGATCAAACTTGCAACAAAACATATCCCTAAAATTAACCAAACTATTGGGAAAAAGCAAGCGGTATGACGAGCAACAAATCTCTTTTCACTGCTTTAAAAAAGTGGAAGAAAGCAGTGCTACTGTGAGGTTCTAATCGGCAGACAAACTGTATTATGAAGATATAGTCTATCGGGATTCTTTTCCTTAATTCCTTCACTAAGACAACAGTTTTAAAAATCGTTCCAAAGTCGAAGTTAGCAAGATTTATCCGGCTGAATTTAGCAGTAATAATGAGAACGTTTTTTGTTCACTTAAAGTTCCAAGTGTGACATGTAGCTCCAAGTTAGGTCGTCAGATTTTCTGTTGCAGTGGTGTTTAATTTTTACGGAATGGCATTGTTAGCCTCACGCCTAATCTTCTCCCTCTTTACTGGTCTTAATTCCAGCTTAGAGAAGCTCAGGAGTGTGTTGACGGGGTTAGAACCCCGGACTGTATGCTTGATTTATAATGTATCTTACTGATACTGATGTAGTGTGTTTTGTATTGGTTTAGTGAAAGAAGCAGCATTTTGATTATAAATCTAAGCCTCAATTTATTGTTGATCTTGCTAGTTTACACTAGTCTATTTGAACTTATTTTTCTCTATGAATGAAAAGAGAACCAAGATTTCTCAGCTATGTATGCCTTAAACGATGGAAGGGAGTGAAAACAGTGTTTGTTTACAGAGTGTTTTCATTGTTATAGGTAGATAAATAAATAAATAAAATTAGTTCAAATTACAGCTAGATTTGAACCAGAAAATTCAGAATTGGGAGCTTAGTTTTTGATAAACTGTTTCACGAAACCCTGAGTGAAGAACGCATAGCGTGGTGATACTGAATCTGATGTAATGTACTGTTGGTTTTCGTAATAGCTGCGCAGCACGTTCAACGACTGGATAGATTGTCTAAATTGTTAACCTACGGTAACGGTAACTTGAGTTATAATTCTGTCAAAACAAGATTGGTATGAAAGCCAGCGACTTATCATTTCTTTTTCTACGTCTTGTATCTTTGAGTGTTCAAATATTTTAATTTCTTCAATTCCAAAATAACAGATTCCCCTTGGACTGTTTACAGCAGTGAATATTCGTGTTGGTCAAAAGCTTGGAGCATTTGATCCTATGGGTGCTAGAAATGTTTACTTTACTGCACTGACAATAGTTCGTAAGTCGCCAACACAAATATATATATATATGTTTATGCAAGTACACCCATTTCTATTCAAGTCATATTATATTTTCTAATTAACGCTGTTGGAAGAATGATCATTTCATTAATTTTGTTAAGAGTTTGTTGACTTAACTTTGTTACATGGAATTATTAAGTATAAAGCCTTTGTACATCCAAATCAACTTCACTTGTAACAGTCTGAAACAATTTGTGCATTGTGCATATAATATTCATTATAATAAAGGTTTCTTTTTGTATTTCCCAATGAATGAAAAACAAAACGATATTGCTTTTCTAGATCATTTATAAGAGTTTTAACAGAATCAATCTGATTAAGAGCATGTCTTTTTAAATTCTTAGGATTAGGATAAATCATCATTCGTCTTAACGACCTCCAATATAGTTTGGGATAGCGTTCGGTTTCTACACATTCTTTGAAAAATTCCAACGATGTTTTCGCTTCAGCGAGCCTTGCACTAAACTTCAGGTACTCATTGAGTGCCTTAAATGCAATAGGATCCCCACGAGATTTCAATATACTAAATATTCCCATAGTAAAATTTAGAACAACACATTTAAGCGAACAATATTGTTTTCAATTAGATCTCAGCAGGCTTAACTCTAATATACATAAGTTTACAAATAAAATTCAAATATAAACCAATCATGGTGTTTTGTCTATAGGATAATACGATGGTGAATATAAATTATGCAATTAGTCATAATAGTAGTAATGATAATAATAATTATAGTAATAATAGAAATGGTCTTATCAATAATAAGGATGAAAAAGTGAGGCAATCTGTGATAACACGAATAATGAAAAACAGCATGATTAAACAAACAACTGTTCAGGTGGAAGTAGTCGATGAAGGCTAGTAAAAACAAATGAACCGATTAAGTAATGTTAGATTGTAAGGGGAGGAAATGAAACACGTTTATAATGAAGATAAGATTAAGGGATGATATTGAAATTGCACTGAGCATATTTAGTATGCTGAGGCAATGACACTTCAGTATGGTTTTTGGCGATCGGATGTCTTTTAACTATTATAGGTGATGTTTATTTTTCTCATAGGGCGTATGCTAAGTTTTGCGTTCCATAGTGACTGACTCCAGGAACGATAACTTGGAGCTCTGAAAAGAAGTTGTGACCAGTAGAGTTCACCAAGTGAGGTGTAAAGCTGAATGCCAACTAATAACATCATAAGTGACACTGAATGATTGTGGTTATATGTATCACGAATTGACAGACAGTAGACTTCTTTGGTGCATTATTTGGACACCGTGGTGCACTGGCAAACGTTATCTGCCAGCAATCTGAAAGCTTTTCTTTTGACTCACGAGTGATCGTTGTTGAGAATTCTAGTATTAGGGAGAAACAACTGTCCAGTGTAATATGGTTTTCATTCATTCCCTAGCTCATGTAAGTGCCCTACGATGTCTACATTAAAATAAATCAAATTTCAACAACATACTACTGATTGACTGATATGAGTAGCTGGTAATTACTCACGTAAAATAGTAGTGCTTGCTGACCAGGTCGAAGGGATTTAAACGGAGGGCGACGGTTTCACTCATCAGAACTATACTCAATTCTACACTACACAGCTCAAAGAGTCAAATCAGTTCCAACTACCAGAACTACCTGGGCTAACTGGTAACACATTGAATCCAACTCGTCATTTGACAGTCATGAAGTTCGAGAGGAGAAATCACTCATACCAATTAACTAGTACTATAAAGTATCAGGCTACTTAACTCGATTTCTTGATCACCGTGTTCCTTTTCAAGTATTATGATCTGAATATTTTTGGTTTTCAGATGAAACTTTGATGATTTCTTCCCTCGAAGTGTGTAATATGATTCTGATACTTTAAAACCCAATATATGAAAGAAGACTGTGAAACTGTTTCCGCTTTTATTTTGTTGCTTAGGTTGCACGTATCAAACTAGAAAACTTGCGCCTTATCGTACACAACCCATTCTTATCATACTGTTTAAGTTTAACGGGAGAGTTAAATGCCTGCAAATACTGCTTAGTTAAATTCAGCAACGCAATAATTGCTCCTGGGCTGGTAGAATATGTCAGTCACTTTATAGGATTGCATACAGTTCGATAAAAGCAGTTACTGATTTGATTTTGCTTTGTGGATATGTCAAATTCAGTTTATTTTCAATGCTTCTTGTGTAATTAATATGCCTGTAATATTTTAACACATCATGAAGTAACACAGCTGATGGTTGCTCAGTACAACTTTTAGTCACAAGAATGTTTAATTGGTGGTTGGTGACTAGCAGTGGAATCCACCAGAATGCACATTTCGTCCTATTCGGGACTCGTCACCTGGATGTACCTGCATTCCCCGAGAGTGCCGTTGTCACCGAGGCTCGAACACACTGCCCATAGTTTCAAACGCCAAAGCATTATCTATTAGACCACTTGGGCCACGAGAGCCACCTCTTGTGCAACGGGTCATATTCATTATTTCATTCAATTTTAGATTTTCCCATCAACTGACTAGACCGAAGTGCTTGGTCCACTTTGAAATTATTCTCCTAACTTGATTTGTAGTTTTTTCAATTAGTGTAGAATCGAAGTGAATTCAGTAATTCAAAGACAATAAACACTATGACTTAGATGGTAGACATAAATGTCATTCGGAAAGTCGCGAAATTCATTGCTGATTTGCGTCTAATGTAATACATTTTTCTTAAGATAATTTAAGGCTACTAAAGCTGTTATTAGGAGAACGAACTATGACTCAGACATAATCATAACACATTCTTTATCCACTTAATTTTTTTTATTTTACTCAAAATAAAATTGACTTTCTGAATCGTGTTCATCTATAATAATCAAATTGATAATAGTATATGCATATTTTAATTTGTTTAACTGGATAGCTGTGGTGGCTTTTTGTACCGCTTTACCTGTTACTCTTCTGCGAAATTACATTCCGTATATATTTACATCAGATGAGTAAGTTTCTACTTTTTTGTAAATTAGCATGTTTACTTTGTTGATATTTCTGGTCTCATTTTTGTTAAACAAAATTACCAGTTATTGTAATGAAGTTATCAAGTATTACGGGAGTCTAGGAGATTGTTGAGTAATTATGAATGTTCATGGACAAATACCATCAAATAAATTTAACTTTTTAGTAATCAATATCTTCGTCACTCCCAGCATCAACAACAAAGTTCGGATTTTCAATACAAACTACGTCAAGTCAGTTCTTCTATACGGATCAGAAACTTGGCGGGTTACAATGAATATTTCCAACAGCCTGTTGCAGACCTTTATCAACAACTGTCTTCGCTGGCTCCATACTGAAGATCAGATGGCCGGAAAGAATCACCGAGAAGGAACTATGGGAACAAACAAAACAGGAGGCAATCGTCCAACAAATATGCAGGAGAAAATGGAGATGGATTGGACACTCACTGAGGAGACCGTTGGGTGACATCGCGCGTCAGGCCGTAGCTCGAGTGGAACCCGAAAGGGAAGCGGCGAGTGGTCCGTCGGTGCAAGGGCGACATGGAGGAGATCGTGTGAAGAGGAGCTGAAACAGTATGGACTAAGATGGATGCAGGTGGAAATTACAGCAGAAGACAGAAGCAAATTGAGACGTGAATTTGAAGCCCTATGTTCCACTAGGAACCCAAGGGAACAATAAATAATAAATAAATAAATTAATTAATATCCATTGTTGGTGTAGACATGAAAAGATCTTTCAGTATGATACCATATTTATTGACTTATGTCGTAGACTGTCAGAATTAATCAACGCATATATGGACTGAACTGGAAGAGATATGTAGAGACACAGGAAATATCAACGAACAATCCCCAGTGGTTTAGCTATTGATATTTATATTTTAACACTAGCATTGGTGTCATTTTTCGAGCTTATTATTGTTTCAGTATATGAAAGAATCAGGTTATTTCTCAAAGGAAACATAATTCTGTCCCTGAAATTCTAGAATTTTCAGTTCACTTTATGAAATTAGCCCAATGTATTTCTGTGACTTCTTTCACGACATCAGACGATGCAGATAGAATAAATACCTCATCAACTAGTTTAAAATGTGCACACTAATACACTAATTACTTTCAAATGTTAGTTTGTAGGAATTTGATTCGTTTCAAGTTTAACTGCGAATTGATATCAGTTAGGCAGCCAGTGAAAACCAAGCAGTACTGGACAGCTGTTCCGTTATAGTTTGGGAATCATCGGCTGTACGTACCTACCACTATCGTTCGAACCAGGTTACAAGGCAAGCTGTTGTATCACTCCTAACCGATGGCCATGAATCCTGTCTCAGGCAGATCAGTAATGATGAAATGTTCAACATTAGAACGAAACAGGTGTCCAGTGCTTCCTGGTTTTTATTGGTTCCCTATCTGAAACAAATCAAATCCCAACAAACCAACACTTGAAAATATCCGCCGGTAACTGGCAACAGGGCGAAGTTGGCTGATGTTCTGTTGAGAAGTCGTGACTAGTGGGGTCGATCCAGTCGGCGGTGTGGAAAAATGCTCGCCAATGACATTAGCTGGTGGTTGCGCTAAAATCGGAATTCATGGGCCAGTGAGCCAAGTCCCCGTGGCTTAATAGTCTACGAGCTTCCCATGTAACCCGATGGTACTCATTTCGAACCATAGTGGTAGGTACGTACGGCCGATGATTCCCAAACTAGAACGGAACAGCTGTTCAGTACTGCTTGGTTTTCACTGAATGTCCAACTGACATCAATCTGCTGTCAAACTCGAACGTAAACTGTGAAATGTGACTTATTTCGTGAATCGCTGTGAGTATACTTTGGAGAAAATCTCAGTAAGTATGATGATGAAATACTATGCGATGAAACTTGGCACTTCAAGGAAGGCATTCTCAACAGGCTGTGGACTTTCATCAACGACTGCCTTTGGAGTCTCGATACTGATCAGGAACCTATCACACAGCGCACATGAGAACACGAAGATCAATGGGTGACATCATGTATACGGCTCCCGAATGGGACTCAAGTGTTAGAAGACGAGTTATAGTCGACCTGAGAGCGACTCGGAGGAGATCGTGTGAGGGAGAGGTTAAAGCTTATGATAAGTCATTGAGCGACCTGAAAAAGACTGAAGACAACAAAGTGAAATGAAGATGTGCCTCTGAAGCTAAACTGTCAACCTGGAAAAAGAATGAATTATATATATATCTGTAATAAATGTAGTTAGTGTTTGCTTACTTGGCTAAAAATGAACTTAAACGCATCGAAAACTGAAACCTAGATCCAAGGCTTCCTGCCGATTGCCTCCAACCATCTAATACGAACAACCGAAAGGTTTGTTTGAGGTTTCAATTAGTGCACTTCATACAAGGGCGTCTAGTTCTTTTAAGGTACATAGTGAACCTTCTTCTGAAACTGGCATGCAAATTCACGCCAGACAAGACAATTAAGGCAGTTAACAAAAATATGATTTGGTAAAGTTGTATGAAAGGAAACAGTAGGGCATTTCATGCACACACTAACATTCATTTAATATATTTTGTATGAAAATAACTTTTATTAGCTACTCTTAATATCGGTATCTTCCAGCTGTTTTCATTTCTACTGTGGTGTTACCATCTAATTTCAGTATAAAAATTGATTTTGTGTTACCAATGGTAGTTAAATCATTCGCTTATCTAGGCAGCATTGTCTCAACTACAGCAGGAACCAACGAGGATGTCAAATCGAGAATCGATAAGGCGAGAAACACATTCATCAAACTGAAACCAATCTGGAAATCCTCGTCACTCAGCATCAACAACAAAATTCGTATTTTCAATACAAACTACGTCAAGTCAGTTCTTCTATACGGATCAGAAACTTGGCGGGTCACAAAGAATATTTCCAACAGCCTGTTGCAGACCTTTATCAACAACAACTGTCTTCGCTGGCTCTATACTGAAGATCAGATGGCCGGAAAGAATCACCAACAAGAAACAATGGGAACAAACAAAACAAGAACCAATCACCCAACAAATATGCGGGAGAAAGTGGAGATGGATTGGACACTGGCTGAGGAGGTCGCTGGGTGACATCGCGCGTCAGGCCATCGCTCGAGTGGAAGCCGAAAGGGAAGCGGCGAGTTGGACATCGGTGCAAGGGTGACATGGAGGAGATCGTGTGAAGAGGAGTTGAAAGAGTATGGACTAAGATGGATGCAGGTGAAAAGTACAGCAGAAGACAGAAGCAAGTGGAGACGTGCAGCTGAAGCCCTATGTTCCACTGGGAACTCAAGGGAACAATAATAATCATGGCAGTTAAACATCTTCTACTGTTACAAAGAGATCATATATTTGATGAATTTCTAGGAAGTAGCTAATGTAACAACTATATCTTACAAAGTTCTGAATTATAAGTTACTCAGAATTATTATTCTAAGGACATATTTTGCCACTAACGCGTACCAGCTGGAGAAGCATTGAAAACCAAGGAGCACTGAACATTTTTGCGTCTTACCTCCAGACTGTCCAGCATTAAGTTTTCTGTACCTCCACAAATCTCGAATTCAAGACCTTCACGTTACGAGGCAAGTTTACATCACGCTGGAATTCAGTGACAGACACTCATCACTGGCATTGTATAGCCATGAAGTTGTATCATGAGTTGACAGAAGACAGAATTTATTGATCATTAGAATTCATCCCAGTGATCGATATGCTCATCTCAAAACCTGAAAGTCGTAGGTTCAGTTCCTAGTGGAGTTATCGACATTTACTGCTGAAGAGTCACGAGATAGGACGTAAAAATCTTCTGTTACTGTTTGGTTTTTAATGGTCCACCGACTGACGTCGGCTCTTGATAACATCTACTTTGAAATCAATCAAGTTTCTACAATCCAGCACTTGAATACTGTTCCTATTTTTTTCATTTACCGAAAATTAAAATCTTCAAAATAAACAATCCATAACAATAACAACCTTGTGTCGCTAATTTTTATTTTATCAGGAACGTTTGTCTTTTGGCCAGTAAACTTCTACCAATGCTGCTTGTCTTTCAGCTGTGTGAGGGATTTGCGGTGAGTTTCATTTGTCAGTATTGGAATGTTTTATGCTGTGTAAAGTACCAAAGTGCTGTGAAACCGATGGCTTCCGATTGCTTTGTGAAAATTTTACAATGTCATTGTGAAATAATTATGAGTTCAGAAAAAAATCTTGTTTTGATTTTCTGAAGATGTTGTGAATACTTTAAGCAGTTTTAAGTGGATTCAGTATGAATTGGTACTTAAATTATTCCAGGAAATTCATAACTTCTGTGATCTGGATATTTAAAATATTTTGTGCAAACGTACATTAGGAGGCTGATGTCTCCCTTCTCATCAGTCAGTATACAACAATAAGGGCTGACCATTGACAGTATAGGAGACACTGATTGTTTATTCAAACACATCCAATATAAAAGTGTCCCATTTCTGTTGCGATAATGATCCTATACGCTTGAATGGATTAGCCATATGCTTTACACTCTCAGTTGAGCACGTCTTTTTAGGACATTACAGATGTTCAGATCATAGCAGTTGCGAATTTCCTGGAATAATCTTAGAGACAAATCAGTTTGAACCATTGTATACAATTGCTTAATATGGTCTCAACAAAATATAGAAGATTTATAGCTCAGGTGGATGATTTGCAATTAACAGTGTTTTCTGAGCTGGTTGGTTTATTTGCGGAGCTTTCGTCAATAGAAAATGGTCAATACATATGTAAAGATGGTTACCAGGAGACGCAATTATATCACTCATGAAGAAATTTAAATCAGTTCACTTTACGCTAAATATTGCGCTGAAGATGTTGTCCATAAGTACGACGAAACCTCCACAACTAAACCTGTGGTGAGAGCTGTCTACTAGCCAAATTGGTAGACAGTAATTTACGCTAATATTTACGTTCCCAAGATTTATCGTGAGAAAATGTGAACCACAGCAGACTTTGCGTAGGCGGATGCAGTTAACATATAGATGATCTGACATTCAACAAACAGTCACAAATAGATGAAAGATTAACTTTAAGTGAGAAACAACCAATCGGAAGACTGTGTTTGTTTGCTTAAATATCCATAGTAATGTACATGAAATATATAAATATGCATGGAGGGTTTCATCATGAGCTGACATCAGTTAGAGAACCACTGGAAAACCAGCTGGGAGTACTGGACAGCTGTTTCGTCCTAGTTTGGGACTCTTCAGCAGTACGCGCCCAACGGGATTCGAACCCAGGACCTTCTGGTTACGAGGCGAGCTCGTAGACCATTGAGCCACTGGGACCATTGGATCGGGTCCCAGTGGCTCAATGGTCTACGAGCTCGCCTCGTAACCAGAAGGTCCTGGGTTCGAATCCCGTTGGGCGCGTACTGCTGAAGAGTCCCAAACTAGGACGAAACAGCTGTCCAGTACTCCCAGCTGGTTTTCCAGTGGTTCTCTAACTGATGTCAGCTCATGATGAAACCCTCCATGCAATCAAACCAAATCCCTACAAAACCAATACTTGCATATAAATATGCGTTGATTACCTTAATAAATGATCTGTTGCCTGACCCATGCCTTCTGTCGTTACAAACCAACCAGCTCGGAGAACACTATTGATTGCAAATGGTCTCAACATGTCTAGCAATTCAAAACAAGATTTTTCTTAACAGATAAAGCAATTTCTTAATGACGAATTAACACTATCATTACAAATGTATATTATTATTCTATGGAGTTTCTGGTGGAAAATAGGGCTTCAGAAGCACATCTTATTTTCACTTTGTTCTCCGCAGTCCATATTAACTTTCTCCACGGTTGCTGCACCGGTGGCACAGAGGTTTTGGCTCTCACCGGCCATGCACATGGCCCAAGGTTCGATCCTCTGCACACCTGATATCTATCGTTGGCCTGCAAACTTTGGGCTATCGATTTCACATACTTAAAATTCCATACCTATACCAAAAAATACGTTGTGGAATCAAGCTCTAATAAAAATAACACCACTCCGTCACCCTCGGACGTCCAACTGATCGTTTCTCATTCTGATTCCACTCGATGGCATGTCTGGTGTGTGATGTAGGTCAACGAAATATATATCAGCCAATACCTTAAAGTTTGGTTCGTTGCATGTCTGCATTTCTTGTTGTTTATTCCCTCCGTCCGGTCATCTAAACTTCAGTATGGAGCAAAGGCGGATGCTGATGCAGTAATCTGTTGGAAATATTTTTCGTGACGTTCCAATGATCTGAAACACATATAAGCATTAAACTGACATGAGTTTCGGAAATCAGAATCTAGTCCCTTAAGCTGAATGCAATAAAGTTTCAACACTGATTTCAGAATGGTGAAGGTCGGTCTTGCTTTTCAGATCCTGATTGCCTTCCCTCCGGGGTAATCTCTGACTATATAGATAATTCGATGATGAATAAAATGTGAGTAGTTCTGCTAGAGAAGCTGTGGCGGAATGTTTCAAAAAAATCTTATTTTGATTTTTTAAACATGGGGTTATTATAAGTAATTTTTAATATGTATTTTATAATCAAGTTCCATATAGTTTATTATTTAGATAAGAATTATATAAGACTGCTCGACGCTTAGCCAGGAGTCACTTGGTCATTTTCAAGCAATATTAAAATAAGATATAATTGGAGTGGAGGTCTTTGTTTCGAAAATCAGAACAAAGACAGGGAGGAAGAAAGTCACTTACATAGGAAATTTAAATCATATACTCGTTTATCAAGAGTGATCATAAACTAATTTCACTTAGAAAATCACTGGCAGAAGTTAGAATTCATTGGACATTGGATTCTGCCCAATTAGCTCAATGGTCAACAGACTGGCCCCGTCACCTGGACGTCCTGAGTTCGAAACCTGACCATATGTCTATAGATGCATAATTTTGAGGAGTCCCAAACAAGGACGAAACGACTGCGCAGTGCTCACAGGTTTTCACTGGTGCATTAACTGAATTCACTTTTTGATCAACGTTGAAATTTAATCAAGCACTTGGAAACTAGTCTAGTGTTCACCGGTGACTGATTGTAAGGTGAGACTACCTATCGTCATCAGTGGCGTTCACCAAGTTGTATATGAAGACAAATAATCACCGGGAAAATAAGCTGCCATTAACAATATACACCGTGAATAGACAAAAGCTAGAAATCATACACTATTATTTCTTATTCAATAATAATAATATTATTATTATTATGCAATATCTGAAGACGATATAGATTAGCAAGAGATCATTAATGTCAACCACTTAGGAGATACTTTGACCTGGCTAGTGAATAATGTTGATTGACATGACTTCCCTTTCAAAGATAACAATAAGTCGGTCATGCATAACGCTTTATTATTATTATTGTTCCCTTGGGTTCCTAGTGGAACATAGGGCTTCAACTACACGTCTCCACTTGCTTCTGTCTTCTGCTGTACTTTTCACCTGCATCCATCTTAGTCCATACTCTTTCAACTCCTCTTCACACGATCTCCTCCATGTCACCCTTGCACCGATGTCCAACTCGCCGCTTCCCTTTCGGCTTCCACTCGAGCGATGGCCTGACGCGCGATGTCACCCAGCGACCTCCTCAGCCAGTGTCCAATCCATCTCCACTTTCTCCCGCATATTTGTTGGGTGATTGGTTCTTGTTTTGTTTGTTCCCATTGTTTCTTGTTGGTGATTCTTTCCGGCCATCTGATCTTCAGTATAGAGCCAGCGAAGACAGTTGTTGTTGATAAAGGTCTGCAACAGGCTGTTGGAAATATTCTTTGTGACCCGCCAAGTTTCTGATCCGTATAGAAGAACTGACTTGACGTAGTTTGTATTGAAAATACGAATTTTGTTGTTGATGCTGAGTGACGAGGATTTCCAGATTGGTTTCAGGTTGACATCCTCGTCCGTTCCGACTGCCTGTAGTTGAGACAATGCTCCCTAGATAAGTGAAAGAAGTAACCTCTTTCAAATCCATCCCGTTGATGGTGATTGGCACTGGATGTTGATGCTGCTGTTGCTGTTGTTGGTTGGTTATTTTCATAACCTCCGTCCCGTCTATGTTCACCTGTTGTCCTGTCTTTGCTACTTCTTCGACCAGTTTGTCGGTTTTCGCTTGAAAGTGTTCGATTTTGTGTGACATCAAACATAAGTCGTCCGCGAAATCCAGGTCTTCTAGGTTCTTCACATCGGTCCAGGATATCCCTGTCTTCTCGTTTCGCACTGTCTGACGCATGATCCAGTCCACCACAATTAGGAATATCATTGGTGATAATAAGCACCCTTGTATGACTCCTGTGTTTACTCCAAACGCCTCGCTGAGTTTTCCGATGTGAATCACTTGACATGTGCCGTTGTCGTACAGTTGTTGAATAAGGTTGATGAATATTTGGGGTACGCCGTAGTACTCGAGTAGTTTCCAAATTACTTCGCGGTCAACGCTGTCGAAGGCCTTCTCAAAGTCTATAAACTTGAGGTAGAGGTTTGATTGCCATTCCATGCTTTGTTCGATGATGATGCGTAGAGTTGCAATTTGGTCAGAACATGATTTCCCTTTCCTGAATCCAGCTTGTTCTGGTCGGAGTTCTGTATCCAGTGCGTCCTTGATTCTCTCTAGGATGATGCGACTCAGGATTTTACTTGGCGTCGACAGGAGCATGATTCCTCGCCAGTTCTTGCAGAGTCCTAAGTCGCCGCTTTGCAATTCATCAATTAATTTTTTTATCAGTAATGCCAATATGTTAAGCAGGATGATAAAAGTGAATTTTAAGAGTAGCTTAAACTAAGTTATACAAATCGGTATTTCTCTCTGGTAGGTATGCTGAACATAGATAGCTTAGCATAAAACAAGCATTAATTTAGTGTACTTTTTTTGCCAATACATTATGGATTACTTGGTCAAATTGATTGCATACTGTGTTAAGAAAATGGCCGAGAATTCATCAACTTGAACGATGTACAGTTAGTTATGTAATTTAAAACATAAATTGGCGCGTTTTAGAGTGTAATCCATGTATTTATATGTGCGTAACTCAGTTGATAAATACTAGAGATATTATTGATTGACATGAAATTATCACTCACCTTCTTAAACATCTAACAATATTTCCCTGCTTTGTTTCCTTTCCATATTTTGCTTTGCTGTTTTTTGGAAGGTGGAGTCAGAAATGTAATTATCATAATTTTTAAATCAGATTTTCGCGTTTTTTTAATTTTAGGGTATCTCAGAGGCTGTTCTCTTGGCTTGTGGACGACAGAGTTTAGGAGCTGTGACAATATTTTTTGGTTATTATTGTATTGGAATGCCGATCGCTTTAGTACTGACTTACAAGACATCTCTAGGAATTTTCGGTAAGGTTAAATTCGCTGTTTGTTACTGAGTTACAGAACAACTCTTTTATTTAATTACATATTCGTAGTCGATACGTTGCGGTAACTCAGTTGATGCATCAAAACAGTTTACAGCCTCTGATTTTTAGTCTTAGTGTGGAATTTTGACACTGTTAGAGCATAATGCTGCATAATGTCATGATTAATGCTGAAAAAAATTGTGCTTAGAACCTAATCCAGTTAATTTCACAGTGTCCCAGATTACTATATCACTGTAATATGGAAATTTTCCTAGTGAGCATTCTGTAGAGAACGATAAATGTCTTCTTATATTTTTTGAGTTTGAAAACTCATTTGTATATAATCGACAAAAGACAACCTTCGAATCGTTTTCATTCTCTATTTTTCGATATAGTTAATAGTAATTCTTTAACTTATTCATGAATATACGATTTTTTACTACTTCCATTATTCATCTTATTCAGATTAGAATACCTATTAGGTTAATGAACTTAAAGATTAGTTAAGTTGAAACTTAGTACTAATGAGGTAGATTTATTCAAATGACCAAAAATTGATTAGGATGAAGTGTAAGTGTTTTAATGTGAGTTTGTTGCATACAATTGCTTAAGGAAGGCAGCAGAGTTGATTGATTAGGTCAAGTAGAGATAAGGAGAACATATACACAAACTCATCATGATCGATTTCACCATTGTTCTGTCAGTTTGCTTACTTTTGTGGAGGTTTATTAACATGCTTTTTCTGAGAAATAATACTCAGAACGCCTAGCTTTTAAAATATTCTATCTATGGAGTAGTAGTTTAATTTTAGATACCCTGTAGGCACGAACGCACCAGTGACCTTAAAACGCTTACTCGGCTCAAGGCGGTAAGACGAGGTAAATAATACTGTATCCATTGGGAAAAGTGTTAAGTAAGTTGTAGCGATATGAAACTTAGGTTAGGGAGAAATCAAGTTTATACTTAAGCTTGATACAGGTTAGGCTTAGGTTAGCCGAATTCAGTAGATATTAGGTTTGGTTAGGGATAACTACGGGAATCAAATGCTCTTTCTAAGATAATTGACGCGCTCATGCATATTGGGTATCTAAAATCGAACTTTGCCTTGTTTAAATATGCATTGAATTTCGTATTATGTGTGATTAGTAACTAACTCAGGTTATTCAAGTGTTGGTTTGTAGGGATTTGGTTGCTTGGTTACAGGATTTCATCATGAGCTGACATTAGTTAGAGAACCCTTGAAAAATCTAGGAGTACTGGACAGCTGTTTCGTCCCAGTCTGGGACTCTTCATCAGCTCGCCTTGTAACCAGAAGGTCCAGGGTTCGAATCCAGGTGGATGCGTACTTATGAAGAGTCCCAAACTAGGACGAAACAGCTGTCCAGTACTCCCTGCAGGTTTTCCAATGGTTCTCTAAATAATGTCAGCTCATGATGAAAATCCTGTAACTCGGGTTAGTTATTAAATTTGCCAGACGCGTTAATATTTCGCTTGTTTCTCCAGTTATTCACAAATTCGCTAACTTCCTGTTTTCATTAAAAATACCTCAGATTTAAAACCAAACATTTTGAAAGGATATGAAACACTTAATTACATGTGTCTGTTTCTACGATAATATGCTCACGTAATCTAAAAATTCTGACTAGATATTCAGAAGAAGAAATGTATTTCAACAGGTTATTGTCTCAGATAACCTCTTTCTCGTTCTCTACACAGAAATCAATAGATGTTAGTGACGGCACGGATAAAATTCTACTAGGTACTGTATCATCGCGGAGAGAGTCCAATGAAGTTGAATTATTCGATAACGAGATGATTGACCATTTTGAGTGGGTGGCTCAACTTCATGTCAAGTGGAAAGTTGTTATAAATACGAGATGAAGTGATTTGGTAACGTGTTTCTATTACTCACAAAGAAACCACATTTCAAGAGGCAAGTTTCAAACAATAGAATAATAAAGAATCTTCACTGATTAAGGCCTCTTTAAAAGGTGGGAAATAGTAATCAAAAGAAGAGTAGAAAGGACAAGTGTATGGTGTAAACATCTACTTGATTGATGAAACAGTCCAATATTAAGGGAGAAAATGAAGCGTAACTGACACTTTGATACGTATTACTTACGAGCTTTGCTTTACTGCACTAAATCACGCTTATTGACTGAAGGAAATAGCAGTCAGTTGTTAAAGTATGGACTCTTGGATTCCTATACTCAGACACTTATCGTAACTAATTTGGTAAGAAATATTCCAGAACAATTGAGTGTTGTACAAACAGTTACAGTGTTCAAGTGGAGATCGACTACACTGACTACTTGTCACTAAGCTAATGGGTCCCGTTTTTTATTCTCACTGGAACTGAGTAGTTTCACTGACCCTCATGCTATAAAATGTGTCTCACAGTCTGCTACATGAAAAAACTGTTCCGAGATCTTGATTGCTAACTAACTACTGAGGTTAAATACGTGGTGTCAAATGAAAGTTGATCACCCAACACATGAGCTTACGTGTTACACACCAAGTACTTTAAATTTAGAAGAGTCGAAAATAATGTAAACCGCAACTGAAACAGTAACTACAGAAAAGCACAGAATAAGCTCCCGAACATTTGAACTTGCTGAGTAATTCAAGAAAGGCAGAAAGCAACGCATAAAATTTGTAGACTGGTACGCTGTCTTGAGAAGGACATGCAGGTGCTGATTAAGCATATAAGAAAAATTACCTATAAAGCAACAGTAGAGAAATAAACCATCGGCCAAAGTTTCAAAGATTACTGGAATACGAGAAGTCTTAGCTCATTCATCCTTCAAAGTCTGAGAAGCTAATTGAATAGAAGTAAATAAATAGGCAATTTATGATACAGATTATCTACTAAAGAAAGTCTGATATATGTGCTAAATGACTTGTGGACGTATAATCTTAGTGTATTGTAAAAACGTTTCATTTATCATTGAGTAACAGAACTCTTCTGACCCACAATATTTCTTTCAAAGAGACATTTTGGATTATTTTTGCATGTCATTAAGTATAGACGATTTTGAGAAAATGTTTAATGCATTTTACGCATATATGCATTTGTGATCATGAAGAAAGACATCATAATACTTATACAGGAGTTGTTTATTTCTACATATCTATTATTACTCCCTTGGATTCCGACTGGAACATAGGGCTTCAACAACACATCTCCACTTTATCCTATTCTATGCTGTCCTCTTCTGAGAAGTTCACGATTGCTCATAATCCCTCATCACATACAGCTCACACCATCTCCTCTATATCACCCTCATACTGACGACCCACACGTCGCTCCCCATTCGCTTCCCATTCACTCAAGTAATGGCATTCGACGGCCTCCTCAACATATCCCCAATCCATCCCAATTATCTCCTACATATTTGTTGAGCATTCGACCCTGAGTTTCTTTTTGCTAATCCTTTCTGTCTTGCCCTCTGGCCATCTGACCGTCAATATGGAGACAGAGAAGGTGGCAGTTGTTCTTCAATGATTTTAACTTGTTGCGAATCCGTTTTGTGACGCGCAGCGCAAGTTTCTGACCCATATGAAAGAAGTGACTGGCCGACTTCAAATTGGAGTTGAACAGAATCCGAATCTTGTTCTTCATACTGGCTAACTGACTGCATCAGATTTCCAAACTGTTTTCAGGTTGATGAAGGCGTGTCTTGCTTTTCCGATTCCGGCCAGTTTTGACACCTCCATCCGCTCCTCTAGCCTGTGGTTGAAACAATGCTTCCTAGATTTTTGAAGGAAGTAACCTCTGTCAATTTTCTACCTTTTCTACTCAACAATATCCAATAATTATAATTTTAAGTAGTAAATACCTAAAAATAGTTTAAGAAATGAAAAACGTTTCTTAATACACGAACGTCCTATATTGGTTTTCAAGGAAACAGTAACAACATATGTTGCAGGATAAAGCGAACCCATTGTTTATCAGGTCAGTATATTTCCAACTGCCATAGCTGTATTATACAGTTTCGCTGGATATAAATGTGTAACAATAATTAGGAATGATCATGGTATTTATGAAGGAATGTAAATGTTAGGTTAACATAATGTAGTAGTGTTTCTCGAGTAAAACAAAAATTGTGCGGCAAGAGTATTGACAAGATATTGAGGTGTAAAAATTATAAAATTACCTAATTCATTAGAAAATGCAAGTATTGGTTTGTAGGGATTTGATTGATTGGTTACAGGATTTCATCATGAGCTGACATTGGTTAGAGAACCATTGGAAAACCTGCAGGGAGTACTGGACAGCTGTTTCGTCCTAGTTTGGGATGGCTGCGCTATGTCGGGAATTGGCAGAAGTTAGAATTCATGGACTGGCCACTGGATCGAGTCCCAGTGGCTTAATGGTTCACGAGCTCACCTTGTAGCCAGAAAGTCCTGGGTTCGAACTCTTGCGATTGGTGTGTACTGCTGGAGTCACAGACTAGGACGGAGGAAACAGCCGTCCAGTGCTCCCTGCAGGTTTTCCAGTGGTTCATAAATAAATGAGAAATGGTAAAATATCTTGATTTAAGTGCATTTGGTTAGATGTTATATGTATATATATATATATATATATGTATATGTATATATATATATATATATATATGAAGCATAACAGTTAGTTAGCGTGAAAAGGAAGCAGCATTTTTAATTACCAGATGGAATAATCACTACAGGTTAAACCACGAATTTTCATGGTAGAGAAAGACTTATTGAAGCTTTTTCTAGGATATCCAGGTTAGGTTTCACTTGTATAACAGTGATGACCTCTGTGAACTTCACTGGAACTCAAAGTTAGTTGTTTATTTTTAATTTTGAAAGAATTTTAGATGTCTGCCTAATAACCTGCGTCAGTCACCTATACATTATTATTATTATTGTTCCCTTGGGTTCCTGGTGGAACAAAGGGCTTCAACTGCACGTCTCCACTTGCTTCTGTCTTCTGATGTACTTTTCACTTGCATCCATGTTAGTCCATACTGTTTCAACTCTTCTTCATACGGTCTCCTCCATGTCACCCAGCGGCCTCCTCAGCGAGTGTCCAATCCATCTCCACTCTCTCCTGCATATTTGTTGAGCGACTGATTCTTGTTTTGTTTGTTTCCATAGTTTCTTGTTGGTGATTCTTTCTGGCCATCTGACCTTCAGCATAGAGCAGAGACAGTTGTTGATAAAGGTCTGCAACAGGCTGTTGGAAATATTCATTGTAACCCGCCAAGTTTCTGATCTGTATAGAAGAACTGACTTGACGTAGTTTGTATTGAAAATCCGAATTTTGTTGTTGATGCTGAGTGACGAAGATTTCCAGATTGGTTTCAGTTTGATGAATGTGTTTCTCGCCTTACCGATCCTCGATTGTCCCACATTTTACCTCCAATGAAATACATTATGTTAAAACTGTTATTTAACCAAGCAACTGACAAGAGATACCGACGGAATAATCCTGTGGCATGTATTGTTATCGCCTTGTTCAAATTTAAAAAAAGATTTATTCATTTCGTTATAAAATTTATATAATTTCCACTATCTTTATCATTTTAACATTTTTAGGAGCATGGATAGGCTTGGCTGTTGGCTTTGCGTTAACCACATTGACCTATACTATATGTGCTTTAAAAACAGACTGGTTTGAACAAGCTAGGAAGGTTAGTCAAACAACGTTTATCATAGTAATATCATAGTGTTGTCATTATTACAGTTTATGAACACAGGATAACCTTTATTTCAAATTTAAATGTAGCTGTGTAATTTAACATGATTAGGCACATAAATATTCTCTGTTCGATACCAGAAAAGTTTAATTCCACCTTATAGAGCTCAAACAATAGTCTGTATATGCGCACCGAGTCAGGAAGAAAATAAAAGACAATTCAACGAAGAAACTTTCCTTTTTTCCAAACGCATCTCCAAACATTACGCGGTTTGGTTAGTAAAATGGGAAAGTAGGACAATTACTAGCTCAGTTCTTCTGCAGCTGATGTACTCAGGTCCCTCAGCTCCGCTACAGGCATCTTTCGGAATTATCTACAAGGTGAGACCGAACGGTACAAGAGGCGTTAATTTCTAGCATTTGTATATGGCGGAGGAGCTGGCGAACTCTCAGCCAAGGTTCTAAATCGCTCGCTTTTACCACTCTTACATATTCCTTTTTTACATTTTCTCACCCTCTTCACAGATGTCAAATGGATACCAAACTACCTTACATCTCATTCAGAACCTTTCTTCCATTTTCGATGACTACTACTTAACCGCTTTTAGTGTCCTATTTAATTTTAGAGACCACTTCTCAATATTGATACAACATTTCTATGGGCATATAGAATTCAGACTTGAGAGGGCGGAGTAAAACTTCAGGCATTAATAGCCTTGAATAGAACAATCACTTCCGTCATATTAGTTCATGCTATTAATCCTCTCGATTTAAGTCAAATACGTGCTGAGAGCAACTTGCATGTGGAATTTAATTTATCAGAAGCATTCCTGTGTTAACGAGTATTCCAGTATTGTCTGGATGTTGGACTGATTCGAAGTAGAAGAATTTGTTCTTATGGAGGTATTTTGAGTGTAGAATGCCTCAGTAGAGATATTGATTATCACACTTTCTGTTACAGTGGTTGTTAAATGAGAGCGAGTGTTTCACATGGTAAGCTGCTTGTTAAAGTCCCACCTATCGATAAGACAAAACGTGCAACTACCGACTACTGGTGTATCCTATAAGAGCTGCTGAAACGGAAAACTCTCTTCTGTCAGTAGTTCAGTGGCACCAACACTATAGAAATATGGCATCGTAGAAAATGGAGAATTTAGCTGCAATATTGGATGGAGAAAGTGTGGTGCATATGGATGAAACCATACTGACAAAACTGAAATGCGATCGAGATAATAAGATGACAAATGGCATTTGGGATCTTGGAGTATGGGACACAACCTTACGGAAACGACTCACTGAAAGAATACCTGACAGAAAATCGACCATTTTAATACCTACGACTACGAGGCTTGACAATACAGACAGAAGACAATGAAATAGGTACAGTACTTTTTTGTCACTTGATTACATTCATCATAACTCCAACCATCCCATGAGTTTTGTTGACATCAGTACTGGTACACAACAGTTCAATAGGAACATTTTAGAGGAGATTTAAAAACTGTGTGTGAGAGTGATCCATGTATCTCAGAATGATGTTCTCTACAGGCATCCAGACGCGTATAGGTATAGACATTGGTTTAGTTTTTCTATAGAGACTACAATTAGAAAGTGGGAGATATTTTCGCATTACATTAATTTCACAAATACACCCACTTCATTTACCTAGAATACGTCTTATTCATGCGGCTGATACGTTTGACGTCACTGGTGCTATCGCATATCTTGGATATATAAAGTTGAACTTTGCCCTTAGTAGGGCAGTACTGAGTATATGAATTTCGTTATGTTTTTCGATTACTTGTAAAACAGTTGTTTTTTTCAATATATATTATATAAATGTTGTGAAAAGATACTGAAAATTTCCTCCTTGAATACGTTGCTTAATACTGTTTACTTTACGAAATGTAGGTAAAGAAAAATTTAAAGGATAACCAAACAATGCGTTCCACATATCTTTCACCCGATGTATCTCAGTACAGTCCTTCATCTACGGAAAATTCTTTTGGTGAGTGACTAAAGATGCAGGCTTCACCCTGTGATTTGGTATAACTATAGTAATGATAAGAGAGTAAATACGGAGTACTGCATGAGCACGTTTTCAAATCTATCATAATGTGTAAACTAAAACTACGAATGACAATATAATATTTCGCAAGAGTAAGGCATTTTTGCTATTATTATTATTATTTTCTGGGGTTACTAGTGGGACATCGGGTTTCAACAACGCACCACTATTTTACCCTGTTCTTTGTAATCCTTTTCAAATGGCTGCACAACTGACCACAAGTTTTCATCTCCCACTTTTATGGTTTCATCCAGCTCATTGTCTCCCATTTAGTTCCCATTCGAGCAATGCTCTGCCGCGTGACTTCACTCTGTGGTTTCTTCAATGTGTGTCCAATCCATCTCCACTCTCTTCGGCAAACTTGTTGGGCAATAAGTTGTTGGTTGATTCTCTGTGCTGTGGATTTCCTTGCTGCTAGTCCTTTCTAACCAGCTGATCTTCAGTATGAAGCTGCCAACAAGTACCTGCATCTGGCTGTTGGAAATGCCTTTCACAGCGTGCATTGTAGGTCTCTAAAATCATACAAAAGCGCTGAGTTGACATCAGTGTTAAAGATTCTAATCTTGTTCCTTTTGATGACTGCAGCACAACACAGACTGGTTACGCATAAGCCCAAAGACGTATACTATACCTTATACCATACCTCTTATTGACTTACATTTGAATGAATTACTAGAAACTCAACGTGTTATTTATTTATTTTTCCTTCACGTTCCCCAGTGGAACATAGGGCTTCAAGCTGGTGGCTTGAAGTTCCTGGAGCAGTGTTTATTTTACAGGATGGGGTTGCTAGCCACATGCCCAACCTTTCCTCTTCACCAGCATTATTTCTGGTTTAGCAAGGTAAAGGAGTGAGTCGGCTGGGGATCGAACCCCGGCCAATGTGCATGGTCGGCGACCGTCCTAACCGCTATGCCACCGACGCACATTACATTACTGTAATGTTGTCTACTAGTCACAGACTTCAATTAATATCAGTTTATTCAGAAATTTCATACATTTATTCCCCTTAATGAATTTGAACAAAGCAAGAACTACAGTTTGAGCAGAATAAAATGGTACCATCTTTTATTTCGTTGCCTTCTCGTCAGCTGCTTACAGGGCAAAGACATTATTAAATGTATCTACAAAAACAATTTTAACATACTTGCACAGAGTTCATTTTAAACAAAAATCAGTCGATCAGTATACGCATACACTAATAATATATACATATATATATGCAATATTAAACACTATTCCGAACAATAATAATCATACACAAAGAAAACTTTTCAGCATCTCGCATTCGGATGAAAAATATCCAGTTACCAGGGCAAAGAAAGACTGATAACCGCTTCTTTCTGAACGCATAAGTCAGGTTTCAGGCGCTTGATGGAAATGGCTTCAGCAAACTTAAGGAGAATTGAGCTCTTTTGCTTATTGATAATTTTGAACGACTTTTCGACGTCCACCTCATGACCCGTGTCGAGGAGATGCCTGGCGATGGCACTGTTTAAAGCATTTGTTTGTCCACGTCGAAAAGTCGTTCAAAATTATCAATAGGCAAAAGAGTTCAATTCTCCTTAAGTCTGCTGGAGCCATTTCCATCAAGCGCCTGAAACCTGACTTATGCGTTCAGAAAGAAGCGGTTATCAGTCTCTCTTTACCAACCATGGTAACTGGATATTTTTCATCCGAATGTGAGATGCTGGAAAGTTTTCTTTGTGTATGATTATTATTGTTCGGAATTGTGTTCAATGTTGCATATATATATATTATGAGTGTATGCATATATTGATCGACTGATTTTTGTTTAAAATGAACTCTATGTAAGTATGTTAAAATTGTTTTTGTAGATACATTTAATAATGTCTTTGCCCTGTAAGCAGCTGACGAGAAGGCAACGATATATAAGAAATGTTACCATTTTATTCTGCTAAAACTGTAGTTCTTGCTTTGTTCAAATGTCAGTTTATCTTTTTGGCTAAAGTTTAAAGAGTATCTTGATCGGTTGGCGACCGGTGTATCAGTGTATGCTTCTAACACTGAATTAAATGAGAACTTGCACCTACATTCAAATATTAGCCATTTGAAATTGTGAGTAAATGTTCACAAAATTGCCATAGTTAAGTCGAATTATTGCTTTTTGGGAGAATGATATTTTGGAAAATATCAGATCTTTACTCGTTCACATCAAAAATGAATTTCTTCCCTCTATTTTATTCTATTTTAGACTTACCAATATTTCATCAAGTCAGCCCAGATTTCGTTAGTTCTGAACATCTACTAGACTACTCTACGACCTCTTCGCCAATACTGCTGAATGAAAATCTTGCCAACTGGAAACATTTAACATTGAAATTTTGTTTCTTTCTTATAGTTATTATCCTTTTATTCATATCGTTATATTTACGTCTTTCAAAATCCCCTTCATTATGGTATACTCATTGTTTACAACAAGTCAATTCTGCTAATATATCAACATTTTGTATCAATATGATGCCATGGAACACCTACAAGTCAAGAAGTATTGATCAGTTTGATTTAAATGCTTTCATCTATTCGAATAATTCATTAGGTGTATAACTAAGACAGTGTATTGAGCCGGCTTTCCTACTGTCAGTATTATTAATTCCTTGTATATTTCTTTATGATTTTACATTGTAAAGAGAAATAGAGATGCAGAAATACAAAAACAGGACGAATAAACTAGTTAGCTTTTTGCATCGAAAAGCTTTTTCTGAAAAACTTGTATTATTAATATTATCACCATTATTATTCATTTTTTGAGCAATACTTATTTTGTTACAATGAGAAGAGTCAGAGATGTCTTTGCCCCTTTGATTCCCGTTTTTATTACAACCAATGTTTATTTATTTATTTTTAAAAATCCTGAATATTTATTATACTGAAAGGTGAATAAATGGATAACTTCTTCGGGGAATTTGAGTCGATGCCCAACAAAACAGCAGGGTGTTAAACGACTTGTGATAGATGCGAATACTTTAGATTGCCGATTAGTGTTGTTTTCCATTGTAACTTGTGAACTGTTGTCAGTGTAGAGTTTCATTCACTTCACTTCAGGACTTGGCTAGATAAGATGGATGCTAAAAGGCTGCAGTTTTTTCAAATGACTATAACTTAACTATTCGTATGAACATTATTCATTCAGAATTGTACAGTTACGGGAAAAAAGAAACCCGTCCACTTCAGGCTACTACCTTCATTCACATCTGTTATCTATAGCTTGTTCTTTTTTATAAATAAAAAGACGAATAACAATCATCTTGTATATTTTGTTGTTATTAGTAGATCCAGTGAAATATATGTATTCGTTTTATCTTGAGTAGAGCCGGAATGATTAATTCACATTTTATGATTTTGCTGATAAAGCTAATTGAAAGAATGTAATTTATTTGAAGAACGATTTCATGAATAAAATAAAACAGACCTGTTGCCTTTTTTTGCAACACAACTTGAATATTATTATTATCTCTTAGAGCCTGAACAGTACGTCATTATTTCTGCCTGTTCTCTGTGGACCGTTGATTACCAGTATGCTTTCTTTTCCTTCCCATACAATATCCTGTGCGTCATCCTCTGATACACATCCAACTCGTCGTTGCCTATTCGGATAACACTCGACTGTTGGCCTGGTGCTTGATGTCACTCAACCGTCTCTTCTCAGTATGTGTCAAGTCAGTCTGCATATCTGTTAATGGTTTGGCTCTTGGCTGGTTCTTTGCCAGAATTCCTTGTTTCCAATCCTTTCTAGCCATCTCATCTTCAGTATGGAGTGGAAGTATATACTGGTGAACGTCTGCAGCTGGCTGTTTTAAATGCTTATGTTGACACACCATGTCTGTGGGTCATATGCTGGAATCCAGTTGATAATAAACTAAAAACAATATTCTTCTTAAGTGTATTGATTGATCTACAGGGATTGAGAAATTTCGTACGATTGGTTCTATTTGTATTCCATCGGTCAAATTTAAAATGGAGTCAAAAAGCTGGGTTACACATTATCTCAGCAGACGTCGAATAAATTTTATTTGTTCAGAGAGTGGCTTTCTGTAGGAACACCCGCCGATCTTAATTTTTGGAGTAGTAATAACAGAACAACCTTAAGATATGAACATTTGTCTGTTTTGCTTATCCTAGTGGGCTATCTCTAGAGGTACATTCAGAATACGTTTTCTTGTTAATAATTTATGATATTTTGACTGAGTGTTGTGTTGACAAAAAGTTTCACTCAATAAATTGCAAAAGTGATCTATCATCAGATTTTTTTGAATGTGGAACAATAGGTTGAATAATATTTAGTAATTGATTAGCTTTATTTTGATACCATCGGCTTTTAAAGTCAGGACTTTGTACCAGAAAATTTAGAGTTTTTCAACATCGATAAGTTACATGTTAATGACATAATAGCTGGTTGTTTCTTCTGCTCAACCTTTAGCAACCTAGTAGTTGTTTAGTTTGATATTAGCAGCTTTGACAGCTTGGAATTAAAATACGCATAAATATCGTGTTTAGTGATTTGGGTAAATAAATAATAAAATGACATTATAGCCGAACAGCAATAACCATCAGCACCAGTCACCATCAGTGGGAGAGATTTGCCAGAGGTTACTTCTTTCAAAAATCTAGGAGGCATTATTTCAACCACAGGCCAGAGGAGCGGATGGCAATGTCAAAGCTGGCCAGGGTCGGAAAGGCAATACACACCTTCATCAACCTGAAACCAGTTTGGAAATCTGATGCACTCAGTTAGCCAGCATGAAGAACAAGATTCGGATTCTGTTCAACATCCATGTGAAGTCGGCCAGTCAGAATCTTGTACTGTGCGTCACAAGAAGGATTTGCAACAATTTGAAGACTTTTAACACCAACTGCCACCTTCGCTGACTGAATACTGAAGATCAAATGGCCAACAGGCCATACAGAAAGAATTAGCAGCGAAACACTCTGACAGCAAACCAACCATCAGCCGACTGTGCAACAAATATGTAGGAGGAAATGGGGATGGATTAGGCATACGTTTAGGAGGCCATCGAGTGACATCGCGCGCCAGATCATCGTTGGATTGGAACCCGAATGGGAAGCAACGAGTGGATTTTCAGTGCGAGGGTGACATGCAGGAGATGATATGAGCTGGATGTGATGAGGGATAATGAGCAAACGTGTACCTCGCTGAAAAGGGCAGAAGAGAAGAAAACAAAGTGGAGATGTGTTGCTTAAGGGAATAATATCCATAAAACGTTTCTGCATGTCCTTACTTATTAAAACTCAATTATTCAGAAATAGAAAAGTGCAATAATTCATAATCACAATTATGTTTTAAGCCTCGGTTTTCCTGTAATATATGCTGATTGATTTTCATGTAATATTTTGTAATACAGTTTCTTCAATAATTTAATTCACACTTTTATATACATTTAAAGTCTACTTTCGCCAGTAACTAAACTTGAGGACAATTCAGTTTTAAGAAGCTAAGATCATTATAACGATAATAACGACAATTTAAAAAAGTGTTTCGACTAAATCAAATTTGCAGTTTCCAGAGACCATGTGGTTTGAACTGAGTACACTGCCAATAACGACGGTGTACGGTGTTCAGATAACTTTGATAATCTGCTTCGAAAACATTATTGGTTGTTGTGAGTGGTGTACAACTGTGGTGAAAGCTGTCTGCTAGCCAAAGTTGGTAGACAACAATTTACGTCAATGTTTACGTCCCAAATCTTGGTCATGAGAAAAAACAAGGACAAAGACTAGCCTTGAGGGGCACAACAACCAACCACAACAGAATTAGCGTGGGTGGATACCATTCGCAGATATATCACCGGACTTTCTAAGAAACGGTCACAGGCAGTACAGAATAACCTTCAGCAAGAAAACAACCAATCAGAAGACGTTGTTTCCCTGCTAACAATTTCCTAAAAAGATAAAGTCGAAAGTTAGTCGAGGATACTCATATATTTGAATTTGTTTCCTATAGTGAGGTGTCTTATCCATGAGAAAGCCCAAACAATCGCGGAGAAGAAACGTAACTTCACTTCATTATTTTTCTACATTTTAACCTCTAGGCAGAATTTATTCTGGGACTTTACTAAGAGTGGACAGTCTGGCTGATGATTTCGTTGAGAAGAAAATCCTGTTTGTTGCAACTGTCTTTTTGTTTTTCTCTATGGTCTAATCGATCTTATTCAGTCAGTGCTGTTGAGTATATTGCGTGGCATGTTTGCTAACGTTTCTGTGCTATACTTAGTTAGAGGAAAACAGACAAACTTATCGATCGACTTCGTCATTTATAAACTGGTTTACAATTTGAACAGTTCGAGGTGGTTATTTCAGAGCACAGTTTCCTTCAGAAATCAAAATTATTCAAACAAAAGTATGTAATCTGCTTGATACGGCATATCGTTATCTTCAATGCAGCATAAATGCATGATACTTTATACTACTGATTGATTAAAAAGAATAGCTGTATATCAATTAGTAGTGCTTGTGGCAAAGTTAAACTTTAAGCACCACTGACAACCAATCAGCGAATGAACTCGATTGCACCAATCACGTGAAGGGGGCATTTTTGGTGTATGGAATACACTTATGAAAAAAAATGCAAAAAGCTATATAAAAGTGTAACACAGGATACCTCCCTCTCACATGTGACATAAGTAGCAATCAGTTTTAGTTTGGAGTATCAACAGAGTATAATTCCATTATTCCATTCCATTATCATAGTAAAATTTATTTTGATAAATTTGAATAAAGCAAGAACGAAAGTGGTTTGTGCAGAATAATATGGTACCATCATTTATTTCGTAGGCTTCTCATCAGCTGCTTACAGCCTAAATACATAATGAGGTTTGCGTACAGAAAAGTTTTAACATACTTGCAAATTTTTACATGTTGCCAGTTGACAAAAAGTTCCACAGTAAGTGAACAGTGCTCAGAAAATTGCGCTTATATAGTTTTTACACATGCAGTTCAAGTTTAAACAAAATAGAATGTATGCATAAAATGGTAAAGGAGTTACGTAATAAAGACGAAATATGAGTTAGATACAGAGTGACTAAGAAATTAGGTAACAATGTACTGAGTTCAACTCAAATCATAGAAACAAGAGACAAGCAAAATTACAGAATATAAAAGGGGGTGAGGTTAAAGACAAAGATTACGTAATCAGATGAGAGAATAAAGACATTCAGTTACCAGGGCAAAGAGAGATTGATAACTGCTTCTTTCTGAACACATAAATCTGGTTTCAAGCGTTTGATAGAGATTGCTTCGGCAAACTTGAGGAGAATGGAACTCCTTTGTCTATTGATAATTTTAAAGGATTTCTCGATTTCTACCTCATGACCCGTGTCGAGAAGATGTCTAGTGATAGCGCTGTTGTAAGAGTTTGTTCCCTTGAGACGTAGGCTTCTTGGCACATGTTCAGAAAATCGGAGGTGTGCCCTTCTTTCTGTTCTCCCAATGTAACTGCTCCCGCAGATACACGTAAATTTGTATACACAGTTGGAGTTAACATGAGAAGGGTATCTATCGACTTTTGACTGCACCAAAGAGCATGTTGT